AGGTAATCCCAGAGCCTGAGAGTTTCTGGACATAGTGACTCAGAAAGTGTCCTACTGTCTTGCTCCTTGGAAAAGGATCATGCCCTAGCCAATCCTATCTATTTTTTTATTTATCTTATTACATTCCCTTATATTAGGTTTGGCTGAAGTGGTTAAGAGGAAGAAGATCAAAAGCCTTAAAAATTTATGTGGAGGGAGTGTGATAGTGCAGAAGCATCTTTCAGATGATTATGTCATATAGTTTTGAGAAGTACTAAAATGGAAGTCTTCTATATTCAATACACAGAATCAGGACAACACTACAAACCACATACACCAAGTGAAACCTAGATATTCTAAAGTGACAGCTGAATAACTCTAGAAAATTACGGTGCTTAATCTTACTTATTCAATACTCTCACCATTGGCTGCTTAAACTCAAGTTGATCATAGATAGCCAAAAGTTTGATGTAATTGACAACGTGTATATGTTAATTGGAGCCTGATGCTGCTGTGATTCCAGGTGACAATCAATATTCATACTGATGCAAAACACCATTAAGTTGCGTTCAGATAATCAAATGGGTTGCAAAAATCCTAAAATGGACAGAATAAGATTTTCAAATGAGCTACACAAGAGGCTCTAAGAAAGAGATGAATCCAAGTAGACTCCCACAAGACAGAGATCAGATAAAAAATACTGTAGAATTATTAAGTCATGATGGAGTCAACAAATCATGCGGACAAGAAACCAGAATAACCAAATAAATAGATGAATGGTGATGAAAGACAAGAAGAAAACATAGAGCGTACTAACATTGGCTAGCTGCAGGTAATGAAGACTAAAGAAATAAATATCAAATGGTTAGATAAAATTGAGAGAGCTATAAGAAAAATCAACCAAAATTAGAAAGTTAAAAATACAACTAATTTTAAATTACTGTTGAATTGTGTTTTGAATTTCATCCGCAAAATCCCATAAAAATATAAGGCAAAATCAGAAGAGTAAAAACAACGGATATTACGTGAAAAATCATAGAAAGGAAAACACCAAGGACCTTGTCCAACCATGAACGATCCACTATGAGAAAGAGTTTGTACAACCTCACCCTAGAATCTTCTAGTTACCTCTTGACACAATACACACCGAACTCTCCACTTGAGTCTCCAGCTTGTCTGTTCCGTTAATATATTTGCTCCTCATGCAATTTGCTTCTTCATGACTTGTTCAATGCTTCTGCTCTCGGTTTTATTGGTTCAATTGCTCCTCATAGTTATCAAACAAAATAAAAATATTTATTTTGCTCCTCATTGTTGATTTTATCATTATGATGATCTCCTTGTTGTTGAACTTTCTATCGCATATATTGGTCGTTATCGAGAAACAAGAAATTGTTTCTCTAAAATATGAAGAAACTTGTAGAGATCATGAGAGACACCCTAGGTTGAGTATATTCTCATAACTATAGCCAATATAGGAAATTCATGCTGTATGGAAGTTTTTTTTTTTGGTAAGTAAAATTTATTGAAAACGCTCAAAAAAAGGGGAGCGGAACCCATGATAACAAAAAGGCCACAAAGCGCCTTAAAGCTTCAACGAGGCCAAAAATACAATAATCTCCTCAATGGATTTATAATCTCTCCCTGACACTTAACAAAAAAGAGTGGAAATAATAGAGAACTTAAGCGTAGAAATAGATTTCCTCTTTCCATCAAAATATCTCCTATTTCGCTTGAGCCAAATGCACCACCAAATACAAAGAGGTGTAGCCCTCCAAGCCTCCAGAATAAGAGCTGCAACAGAGACACCTCTCCAAGCCTCAATCAACCCTCTAGAAGACCTAGGCATAACCCAATGGATTCCAAATAATCCAAGCATCAAATCCCAACAATCTCTGGCCATACTGCAGTGCAAAAGGAGGTGGTCAACTGTCTCCTCATCACACAAGCACATATAACAATGATTGACCACCACCTGATTCCTCCTCCTCAAATTATCCTGGGTTAAAATCTTGCCTAGGACGGAAGTCCATGCAAAAAAGGCAACCTTAAGGGGGGCTTTAGACCGCCAAATAGACTTCCAAGGGAAAGAGCCTCCATAATCAACCTAAAGGCACTTAAAGAAGGACCTAACTTCGAACCGACCGTGAGAGTTAGGAACCCAAAGCCAGCAATCCGAATACCCAACAACGATCGCCTGACGGTACAAAACTTCCAAAAGACGAGTAACATCCTCAATCTCCCAGTCTTGAAAGTGCCTCCTAAACTGAACATCCTAAGTCAGTCTCCCGTTATCAAGGTGATAACAGTTAATCACCATGGTCTGTCTATGAGAAGCAATCCTATAGAGCCGTGGAAAAGTGAGAGCAAGAGGAAGTTCCCCACACCAAAGATCCTCCCAAAATCTGATCCTTCTGCCATCTTTGATCCGAAAGCGAACATGCTTGCAAAAATCATCCCACCCTTTCCGAATAATAGTCCAGACCCCCACCCCTCTAGTACTGCGAATCTCAGCAGAGCACCACCCACCACTAATCTCCCCAAACTTGCTTGCGATAACTCTCCTCCAAAGCTAATGCCTCTCAATCCCAAACCTCCATAACCATTTCCCAAGGAGAGCCTTATTGAAAGGCACCAATCTCGTTAATCCTAAACCTCCACACCGAATCGGACGGCACACCTGCTCCCATCGAATCAAATGAAATTTGAACTCCTCTCCTCTCCCCCCCCAAAGAAAGTTGCGCTGCAATCTCTCTATTCTCTCAGCCACAGAAGATGGGATCTGAAAGAGCGAGAAGAAATAAGTGGGGAGGCTAGAAAGGGTGCTCTTAATTAGAGTAACCCGATCCCCTTTTGAGAGATACTGCTTTTTCCAACCCGCCAGCCTCCTCTCAAATCTATCAACAACTGGATCCCAACTCCCTACGCATCTCGAAGGAGTTCCCAAAGGCAACCCTAAATAAGAAATGGGAAAGGATCCAGTGCAACATCGAAGAATCTGAGCAAACCTCTTGATCCAGTGCAACATCCATGCTGTATGGAAGTTTAAAACCTTTTAGAAGTCTTATTAGAGAGAGTTTCCAAAATTGAGTTTCTGAAGGGTCTATCGATTGAGCCTTCAACCGACACATACTGGAGTCCCCTCAATTGATCAAGCCTCCAACGTTCAATTGAGGCTTATTGAATTTAAAAGCAATTTTTCAGAAAACTTCAATCAATCTACCTATCAATCGAGGTTTGCCAGAGAGTACTTGATCAATCATCCTATCGATCCACACTATTTTTCAGTAAAAGTCAACATTGAAGACATTTTCAGTGAACTTTAATTTGAAAGTAGTAACTTTAAAAACAAGTTCAGAAAAATATTTTGAGACTTTTCAAGATTAAATTTAGATCAATTAAGGTCTTCTAAGGTCTCATTTACCTGTGCCCTGGATATGTGGTTGAGCATTCAAATTCTATGCCGTGTTGTTCGCTAAACTTTGTCAATAAACAAATGATTCCACAACACTTTGCACATTACAGCCCAAGTTTTGAGTAGTAAATTGTCAACAGATGACTTTAAGTCTAACAGTTATGCTTCTATAAGTGAGGTTTGTAGAGACCATTCAACAAGTTTGATTAATGATGGCCTCCTCAAGATTTGCCATCTTTTACTGGTGTAAAGGCATTCTAGACGGGTGGCCTTATAAACATTATGACCTTCTTCTTCTTCTCCTTTTAGTCCTTGCAGACATAAATTCATTGTAATGCATCCTTGATATCCTTTATCAAAGCTCCGCCATACATCACATTATCAGCAGTGGATTTGTTGCATAGATAATGTTCAGTTGGGTTCACCTGTTGGAGGATGAATCCTTTGTTGAAAGAAAGACTTGAAGTGGAGTGCTTCCTGTTATTCCTGTGTTGAATCTTTGGATTGAATTAAGACCGGTGCATTTCCAGCTAATGGAGTTTGGGTTATTTGTTCCCTGCTTTTTTTGTTTGGATAAAAATTTGAATGTCCCAAACATTTAATTGGTAAAAGCCAATGAATATCTAATAGGTTTTCTATGTGCAAAGTCTAACTGGATAGGTTTTCTATGTGCAAAATCTTTGCCAATTCTTGTTTACCCTTATCTGAATTCTGTGGAGGTGTTTCCAAATTTTTGGCAGTGACCTCTGAAGGATTTAGGTTTAAGTTACTAATCATCATTTTAATCATTTAGAGAGTTGTCCGCCTCTGCCTTATTCAGTATGCTAAGGGAATGCCAGTGGAGAATTATGTATGTATTTGAATTTTCTTCTTTCTAGATGAGAGCATGGTCCTACAGCTTCTTTCCGTGGAGCTCTACTTCAGGGGAGTTCAGAATTTCTCTATGATTTCTTTGACTTAGTGTGGAGTAGTTCTAGACTTCCTAGATCAAAATAAAGAGAGTTCTTTCCGGTGGTCAAAAGACTGATGCAAGCGAAAGAAGCAGTTCGAACTTTGAACAGGTCTGCCTTTGAAATCTCGTACACAAACGATATACCTCGTACAACAAGACAGATTACAAGAAAAAGCTTACATGTGGATTTATAGTTGTTTCACATCAATAATTGCTTTCAGCATAGGTGCCCTGGGACCATTTTGTTTCTCACACATACTTGCTATGCATTCCTCTTATTCTTTGATATAACTACTAGTGAAAAAAAGAGAGGAAGATAATAATGTACAGAGAAGCTTACGGGTATCTCTCACTTGTTTCCTTCAAAATGTGGAAAAGAAATATGTGAACGATGTCTTAAGAATCATTCTTGGGTTCTTTTCTTGAAGCCGTTTATACTGGCAACTTTTTTTATAAATATGATGGATCTTATTGTTTTAATCATTATAAGAATTCTTTCTCCATATTGTCATCTACTAAATACAGTGAATTTTATACCATGGTTTGTTTTGTTTTTTAATTATAAAAAGTTCGGGACGAGTAAAACTTTCTCTGAAACAGGTTCGTTAATTATGAATAACCCTTATTTTTTCCCCCAAATTCGATTGATTTCAGGTGGCTGAGAGGGCACTGTTCTTTTGGAACAATGACCAAATTGTAAGCCTGATTGCACATAACCGACATTGCATCCTCCCAATCATATTCCCAGCCCTTGAAAAGAATGCCCAGAGTCATTGGAATCCCGCAGTGCTCAACTCGACCCTCAATGTGAGAAAGATGTTTGTGGAGATGGATGATGCTCTGTTCCTGGCCTGCCATTCCCATTTCAGGGAAGAACAAGCAAGGCTAAGCTTGGAAGAAGCGGAGCGGAAGGAAGCATGGAAGCACCTAGAGAATGCAGCAAGTAGGCACCCAATAGCCGGAAACACAGCTGTCCTGGTAACTCGTCGTTAGCAACCTCAAGTGGCATTTTAGTATTGTGCTTGTCCACATGTTTCCTCTTTCTTATTTACCTCTTTTCGGTGGAGGGAAAACCAGAAGAGATGTACGGGTTTGGATCTCGTCTCGGGATAGCATTTTCTGGTGATAGCCTGTTGTAACCTCTTTGATTCTATATTTCTCATCTTTTTTAGAATATGAAGTGTTAATTTGCTTCAGTGGAAAGGTTGTCCGAAGGGCCTTGTAGCGGATTACGTAAACTAGCATCTTTTATCAGCTGGCTAGTGTCTCTCTCTCTCTCTCTCTTTGTGTGTGTGTGTATATATATATATATTATATTTATGTGTGTAACACTTTTAAGTACTTCAGAAAATGGTGATAAATATTCTCTAAGAATTTAGGAACAAATGTTGCTTTATAAATAGGCCTGGGGAAAAAATATAGTAAAATAAAAGTGTGTAATTCTTGTGAAAATTTAAAACAATCTTTCTGCTCTGTTTTGCACCATGTTTTCTTTAGCAGTTGTAAATTTTCTGTTTTATCGATTTTTTCGGCTTTTCAATTAATTTTGAAGTGCCATCAACATGAAATTGTATTATTTTCTTTAGAAATGCGTCTCTTCGTTAAAATAACTTGTTCATATCATTTGATCCCACAAACCTCTTGCAGAGGCATTTACTTGTTTCTACTTGTATTTAGTTTGATAATTACTACTTTCAACCTAAGGTTGTGTCAAGTATGTTGATTGTGTGGGTTTCTTATTTACCTGTTGTTTAGTATACCAAAAATGATACATCCACTAATATTACCTTGACATCATAAGTGAGCCCATGCCCAAACTTACGTATTCGGCATCCTCGGTCAATACAAGAGGGGGCGCGAATCCTCTGATGTTATCATCTCTACGGTCCCTGCGGTGAGCTACTAAGGCCTTGTTTGGCTTGGCACAATAAAAAAGGCAAGTAATGGAACAGTGAAGTTAACGCTAATTTGCTAACTATATACGGTATATACCAAAAAGAAAAAGAAAAAAGTTGAAAAAGGGCAAAGTGGCGCCTTCTGGGCCTCCTTCTCTTTTATCTTTCCCTTCCTCCCTTTTCGTTTTCTTATTTCCTTCCCTTTTCGTTTTCTTCTATTATTTATTTTTTAACTTCTTTAATCCAAACCCTAATTTGTCTCTCCTTTCCTTCTAGTTCCATCAAAAGCATATTGTTTTTTAATTCCTTTTTTTAATTAAAAACCCTAATTCCTCCCTCCTTTCCTTGTAGCAAAATTGGACCTTTTTTTTTCCTAAAATCTTACTTTATGGTTTTGTTGTTTCGAAACTTAAATTTAGGGTTTGTGGGTTGGTGAAGTTGATACAACAAACAAAGATTTGAACAACATACAATGTAACTTTGTTGCAAAATTGGACCTTTTTTCCTAAAATCTTACTTTATGGTTTTGTTGCTTCGAAACCCTTACTTGAATTTAGGGTTTGTGGGTTGGTGAAGTTGATACAACAAACAAAGATTTGAACAACATATACTGTAATCTTGTTGCGAAATTGGATCTTCTTCCCTAAAATCCTGTCTTTTTGTTTTGCTTTGTTTGATGACTCCTTGGCTTTTTGTTTTGTTTAAGGGTCAAATTTATGATGATAACTCATCAGTTTTTATTTCTTATTTATAATGGAGCCTACTCATATATTATAAATACAAAAAACATGGCCAAACCAAGGCCTCAAGGCAGTGGACCGGACCGTAGGGATAATAACATCAGAGGATTTGCGCCCTTAGTATACAGTGTCATTCAACTGGACTAAGATTTTTAATTATTGTTGTTCTTTTATTTTACTTAATTTTTAGGCATTCATTGTGCTTCCTCATAAATACAGTTGAATACATGTCTCTGGAGATGATTTTAACTCATAAATATAAACTTTCGTCCTTTTTTTTTTTTTTGGATGGTAAAGCAAACACACACACACTATTTTGCCCACATTTTATTTTAAACCCCTCCCCTCTTCTTTGAAAATGAGAAGGTTATACTATTAGGCTAAAGACCCTTTGGTATAAACTTTCGTTCTTAATTGTTAATTTCCCTTGTACTCCATCTCTTGGATAGTTGGACAGTAACTTCATATTTTGCTCCATTCTCCTGTTCAAAGAAATCTGTTTTTAGAACAAAAATAAATTTTGTGCCAAAAGTAAGGCAAATTTTGAAAATTTTAAAAATATAAAGACACTATAAATTTAGATTGTGGTAACCAAGATATTTCACAGATGCTCCAAAAAATCTTTCGGAGACATGGTCAAACCTCCGGTCTTATAAATTGAATTGAAAATTGCATGGAGCCACTACTAAAAGAAGGTCTTCTTGATAATTATTTTCAAAAGATTATTTCGAACTCACATTTTATAAAAAGTTTTAGGTAAATTACACTCACACCTTTTTAGATTTGGATTAAAGACGGATAGATACAACTTAAGTACTTTTTGGAAATGACACCCCTCAAATTTGGTAAATTGAACAATGACACCATAAATCAATGTAAAAGTACTTCATTGTCCTTTGAATTCTGAATTGATTTATTTAAATTATGTATTTACAATTTTAAGCTTCTAAAAAGCATTTTAATGGACAAAATTGATCTTCACACTACAACTTTATTTTGACAATTATGATCATTGACTTTGTGGAGACACTATATCCACACTTTTTTGATTATTTAGGATTATGTGATCTTTATTTGCCAATAAACCCTCATAAGTCCTAAATTACCCATAATAATTGACCAATAACTATAGACTTTGGACCACATGATTGTAGATAGTGTTTTATTATTATTATTATTATTAATCTTGGCAAGAAACTCATACACCTAAACTTTAGAACAAAATTATAATATTATTATAATTAGTATACACTATATATTGCTACAAGTATGACTACATATTCACGAAAATATTCATGGCCTATTTTTTATATGGTTCTTGGGTTTGTTAAGGATTTGATTTCTATTATTAAACATATGTGATTGAAAGTTGTGCCAAAATGATGATGTTATCACTTCTCAATGTCAAAATTTTTATTTCTATTCAGACATAAATAAAATTTAATATTTAATAATTCTATAAATTTTGCACCTAACCAATGCAATTGTTTATTCCTCTTTGATGAGTAATATAACTTGTTCATTTTGCCAACATGGTGGTTTTTTTTTTACAAACTATAATTTGTAATTAAATTTATTTTTTCCTAATTAATTTGATATAGTGTAAATTGTGGGATGTAACTTGTTCATAAATACTTTAATGGATAAAATAAAAAGGCTTTGAGAATGTTAAAATGATAATTTTATAATTCAAATAAATCAATTCATAAGTCAAAGGGCAATAATATACTTTTAGCTTGATTTGGGGGTGTCATTGTTCAATTTACCAAATTTGGGGGTGTCATTAACCAAAAAGTACCTAAATTGTATCTAACTGTCTTGAACCACATCTGAGAGGGAGTGAGTGAAATTTACCCAAAAAAATTTCAACTTAACTTAACACGCTAGCAACTCCATTTTTCGTGCATGAAGTCTACATTACAGTCCACAATGTTCCATTTTTAACTTCTACTTTCAAATCAGTCCTCAGAACATTGTAGGTCAAAATCAAGTGAGACAATTAACATTCTACTAATAAACTTGCTAGATTATAAAATGGAAAATATTCTTTTGAAAACATATATGACATCTTTCTGTATGCTCTCTCAATAATGTCCGTAGAGATCCGTCTCCCATTCTCGACTTGGATATTATTTTCAATTGATCAAGATATCAATCAAAGCATTTTTCTTTTTGTAAAAATATCTTGCTTAAATTTAATTTAAATGTTCTTTTTCACACATTCAGAACATCTTTTTAGTGAATCAAACCACTTAAACATTATGTTCTAATATGTAGCATGATAAGAATGTATAATCAAGAATCCTAATTTGGTGAGTTAGTACTTGAATTTATCTTTTTACCCTTTTGATCGTCAAATACTCGATATCTTCAGATCCAAGGTAAATTCTAACCCTAACTAATTAAACCACTTTTTAAAATAAACAGATTCTACTACGGAGTACAAAATTGGACAACACTAATAAGTTCTCAAAGGATCATGCAATATCATGTTGAAACATTTTACTATCCCAATTAGAGGAAAACATCTGATGCATTCCTCAGTCTTGGATTGGTATGCGCGCGCGCGCGCGCACACACTTCAATTGCCACAATCAAAGACAATAAAGCCAACAAACATGTGCTGATATTGGATATAAAATGGAAATTGTTCAACAAAATGGGAATAATAATTAGGGTTTTAAATACAAATGCCATCATCTACAATTGCAACCCGAATAGTTCTCCTTTCCGGTGAACTAACATTCCATAGGTTGGAAAGGTTAAAAATTATGCTGAAAGGCATTTAGGGTTTTAAACTTAGTGCCACAGTTTATTCTGGCTTTTACAATTCTACATTACAAAAACACAGGTCCTCTTGTGGCACAACTGTGTAAAAATAATACAACAGCAACACGAGGTCAGAAATAATAATAATAATAATAATAACGAAGGATGAGAACTACAGATGGACAATTGAAGATTATATATTGGATTCAGATCAGGAGCACCTTCTAAATACCAGAACATGAAAGCAGTTCCAACCGATAGATATCTCAACTTCAGAATAGTGACTGAACAGGTCTTGATGATGTTATAGTTGCCACAGATTTGAACTGTCATGATTACAACAGTTATATTAGGAAATAACAGAACTCGAAAAAAACTCGACAAAGCATTATGTCATAACCTCAGGGAACAAAACAAAACAAAACAATTTTTTCGCCCAACTATTTAGGGTTAGTTACATGAATACTATTATTCCGTTATGCTTTATCTAAACTCATATCCTCAATCAAACCATATGTTAACGTATCTCTCCTTATTAACTCTACACATTTTAATTTTGGTCTCCCGACTCTCCCCTTCCCTAGTATTATTATTACCTCAATGTAGAAAATGTCGCTCTTTCTAAATGGTGCACTTAGTGGTCTTCTTTGCCTATGCCCAAATCATTTAATCAATTTTCTCTCATTTTATGTTCAATGGTGCTGCTCCAACCATCTCACGGACATGTTCATTTCTAATTCTATTCTTTTCTTATTTTTCCGTATATTCGTTTTAACATTTACATTTCCATCACTAACTTTATGCATATAAATTGATAATGCAAAACTAATGCAGTGTTTGGCATGACGGAGATCATACTTTGTAATTGAAATCGTCGACTGTATTTAAACTAGTTTTTGTCACATTTAGTTTTAAAGCATGGATTTCACACTACCAAATGTAATATAAGTATCAATTAAATAATTGAAGGCTGTTCGGGAAACCTAAAAGCATGATTAATGGGATCTATTTGTTTGGTTACTAATTCTTGAGATTTCTAGAGTTCAAATTTTTAAAAGTTAGAATTCTTGAGAATTAAGATGTTGTTAGTAAGTACTTGGACTTTCAGTATACCACTTACTATGAATTGATTATTCGTAAAAAGGTTAACCCTTTTTGTTTGATAAAAAATTCTCACAAAGTCGTGATTGAAAGGAAAGGCAATTCCTATTGACTGAGGTGGAAATTAAAACTACTAAATTTCATGCGAGTTAAGATGTCCAGGTACTTTGTTAATTTGCAGCTTGAATTCCTACATAACAAATAGGCCTTTAGGCTTTAGCATTATAGGCATCGAGAGATGTAAATTAGCATGGAATAGGACTACTAATTAGCTACCTTCTGTTGAAAAAATAAACCAATGGAAATATAAAGCAGGTGGTAAGAGAGTCGTCTACATTTGTTACCTTCTGTTGCTTATACTTTTCACGTATAGCATTAAGAGAGCATCCTCCAGTGTTCAGCTGCAAATCTTGCAATGACAGAACCGTGCCTTCCAAATCTGATGCCTTGTAACTGGTGTAGTGCTCTAGAGTTGGATTCTGTAATAAGTATGCACGGTGTCACATTCTATGCTTGAAACAAAGCAAGAAGTTAATTCTAATTAAGAAGCACAAATAAGGCAGACCCATGGATGGTCCGACTGATTGAGCGTCCATCTAGCTAGAAATACAGCAGATGCAGCTATGAGTGATGGAAGGATCTTCAGGAAGCTGTACTCAACAAGAGTTAGTTCTGCTAAATAATTTGCCAAAAATTCCAGCTCAGCGGAAGAAACCTGCAAATCGAAGCATTTTAAAACATGAATTAATTCTCTTTCCCGTTAAGTATATTTGAAGGCAGATGGGACAACAAACACCATCTGATGTACCTTGTAAGAAACTTGTGCTGCTTGAATGAATCTCCTGAAAACCAAAATGGGGAAAGTGTACATTAAAACCATAAGTGGATTCAACCAGACAGAATCATACCAACAACAAAGATAACAGATATGCAAAATACCTAAGGAATTTTTTTGTGGTCGGAACAGACAGTTGAAAACCCAAAAAGTTCAGAACTTGACTTTCCATTTTCAATACCTGCCATGGAATCTAGTAATGAGCCTCTATACATCCACATACATGATGAGGAGCATTAAAACAGTTCTTGGAGAATACCCTATAAAATACTTTAGTGGAAATAATGGTACTTCATAAAATCTGAGAATTGGAACACTGCAACAGATGGGTACAAGATGAGATTCAATGCCTTATCTTATATAAGCCAATCAGTTGCTGGACCCAGAACAAGTGACACAATTCAGGTTGATGGGAATGTGAAGAGAAGGCCAAGGTTAAAGTATGGAAGTCGATAGCTTCAAAATGTTTGATAAATTGATCAGTGCATAGATGGGATCAGGATATGGGCTGGGCCAAACAGTACACGGAATGCAATTCATTAAACAGCATGATCTGGAAATGGTGCTTGGCTGCCACAGTTTATTTACCTCCAGCAGGAAAAAAAAAAAAAAAGAAAAAAAAAAGAAGAAGACAAGATCTCATACTCCAGAGACTATTGCGGGATGGAATGTGCATATCCAACTGGTTAATGAAGATAGAGGAGGACGTTAGACAACTACTCACTCTAGAAGCTTAAGCTGTTAAAGAAAGGATCAAACAATACATATCAAACTCTCAACACACTCCGCCAACTAAAATTACATGATGCAAACTTGCACAGATAGAGAGAAGAGGGAGAATTTGCATGAGAGACTTGAATGTAAACTTCCTAGAATTAGAATTTGATGCCAAGTGACTCGTGTTAGACACTCTCTTGCTCCAAAATCTTAAGTTGTGGGAGAAGGTGACCGCTGATGCATATCAAGCTCTCAGCAAATGATTGAGTGATAGTCTTGGATATTGTCATTTGGACCATTTGGTTATTCCTCAAAGTTGTTTTAATAGTGGTGGTCCCTTTATATGACTTCTTTGTGACCAATGTTTCTTCTGTGTGATGAGTTTATTGATTACATATGGGGGTTATGCCCTTCTTTATACTCTGTTTATTTGATATATTATGATTCTTAACAAAAAAAAGGTGAGGTTGGTCAAAAGTAATGAGAATTGGCATGATGTGTATGGCAACAGAATATGTGGCCATGGAGCGGATAAAAGAAAAAGAACAGAAAAAATGGGAGAAGGCCTAGAGCTTATCTAAAATTTGAAGGGATATGAGCACTCTGGAAAAATGGTTTGACTGTTAAAGTCAGCATTCGGTATACTCTTGATGTGAAGAATAGTTCAAGCACCAAGAGTCCTGATATATTCTTTGTCAAAAATTCTTGTTCCTTCTTGGGATTCTAACTCTATAAAGGGGCACACATTTTCCACTTTTGAAATTCCAAAACTACCTATTTAAAGTTTAAAAGTTCATATTGTTAGTTGGGAAAAGTTTTCTAAAGTTCAAAATATTATGGGAAATATACAATCTTTTTACATTGACTCTTCAAATGGGACAAATTTTTTGGAATGGATGGTGTAGAAAGGAGTAGATTGAACATGGAGGCAAAACATAGACTACATAAGTTTCGAAGTGACCATAGAATTAAATTATTTAAAAGGAAATATAATGTCCCTCTTTCCAAATTTCCTCCATTACTTCTATCCAACCATAATTATGGAAGCATTCAGAAGAGAAAAGGTACAATAGGTAGCTAAGGACATACCTCTGCTCTTGTGTAAGTGTTGTCTGTGACAAAGCAAAACTCTTCCACACGGGGTGCACAAACTTCTTCATACTTTCTTCAAAACATAACAATAGTAGCAAACCATAAATTCCATTAGTGGAAAAGGAAAATGGTCCTGCTATATAAATCATTGCAACAACAAAGAAATTCATGCAAGAGCTTTTGGAATATATAAAACCCAAGCACATGAATTTTTAAAAAAATCAATGACAATTTAAGGAAGAGATTAGAACCTCCTTCCTTGGACACACAGAGCATGCATCTATATATGCACAAACACAGAGAGAGAGAGAGAGGGGGGAAGATGGCTGATACCAACAAGGCAGCTATCAAAACTTCTGTATAATCTCACTTCACTTAAAATCATCTAAGAATTAGACGAGGAATTACACTTAAAATAAAGATGTTGGGTGCATGTTCATTGGGATCAGCAAGTTTAAAGGCAATAATACCAGGGCTTGCCATCTACCAGTAACTGAACTAAAACAAAAACAGAACAAGAACATACATCGTATTTTATTGATGATAAATAATGTTTTTGTTAAAATCACCATTACCATCATCAAAGCTTTATCATTAGTATATTTCCAAATCTGGAACATTATCAATGAGAAAGTACTTTTGATGATGTTTTCAGACAATTAAAAATAGTACGAGCACAACAAAAGCTAGAACTTACGAGGCAATAAGCATACAAGTAACTCCAAGCAGTTGGAGTCTTTGCTTTTCAATGTAATTTTGAGAGAGATATCGATCAATGAGGCTCACAGTCAGGTAAAGTGTGTCTGGAACAAGCCTATATTCTTCCAAAACCTGAATGGAGAATAAAGATTAATTAGTGTTTTCATCATCCACTATCAATCTAAAGAAGCCAAGATTTTGTGCATCGTAAAAGGTGCAAGATGATTCTTGGATGGTGCAAGTCTGATTCAAGACACCCGGATATTTACAGCCCCAATATAATATCAGAAACACAAATGTTGTATTTTGAGACCACAGGACTGGAAAATTACTTCCAAGCAGAAAGTGATCTGAACCTTACATCATCGAATACTTAAATGCAACAATGTGCAGGATGCTCTTTGACAAATAATGTTAATAAGAAAAGGGCTAGCCAAATGCACGAAGCTCTCGCCATTGTAGGGTCTAGGGAGGGACAATTGTACACAATCCTACCTCCGCATGCGGAGAGGCTGTTTTCTGTTTGAACCCATGACCTCCTGGTCACAATGGATCAACCTTACCGTTGGATCAAGGCCGTCCTCAAATAATGTTAATGACTAATAAAAAATAAAAAATAAGGCAGCACAATTAGTGAGAAGGAAATCTCATCTTATAGAGGAAATAAGAATTGAATACTTGACAAAAAGGGTTTAATAACAACTAAATAACGTTTTTGAAGATGAGAAAAGAAAAAATACCAATCCAGGAGAGAAAAAAAGAAGAAGGAAGAATATAGAAGAAAAGGTAAAGATACCCTCTCACAAACAACAAAGACTCTTCCCAAACAGAGAAATACATATCACTTTGTCAAGAACACTGCACTTATAAAAGTTCAAGTGAATAAACTAACCTCCACAAGCCAATCAATCAGAATTCCTCGCATGCTCTGAGTGATATCTCGCTGCAATATTTCCATATAATTAACTGAAAGCCTTCGGTCAAGCTGCGAAAAGACAGGAGTTTACGATAAGTGAACATATATATATATATAAGCATTCTGTAAGAATACAAAAGTTTTATTTTGGTACCAACATGATAATTTGTTTCAGAGAAACAAAATATGAATAACATAAAATTATTTTCTTTTCTACTCCTACCAAAAAGTGGAACACTTGCAAGTTGATAGCAGATTGTGTAAGAATTCTGTGATGGTGAAGTCATGCCATTTTGCATTTAGGATCTGAGGATGATTTTCCAATATATTTATGTTGTTGAAGCAATAGAAATTCAAATACTTTTTTGCATAATTACTATGTCCGGGAGGAGTTCTAGTAATGCAGTAGTCATAGACATTAGGAAGAACAACAGAACGGACAAACAAGAAAAGACGGCAGATCAGCAGGCTATACAGACCTCCATAACATGTAAATTATCATATATATCAGAGGCATACAGGCTGCACATTTGAGGATCCTTGTGGTTCAAATCAATATTTGCAATGCTTAGATCATTTGAGCCTTCCAGTTTATCGCAAATCTTGCCTTCTGCATAATGCAACTAAAACAGCATTAAACCTTACCAAGCAGATAAGTAAATAACATACAATTTTCTGAGACTGCCACATGATTTTCTCCTTTAACTTCACAGCATAGTTTAATTTTGAAAGCAACAAGCAGATAAGCCTGTTCCTCTAATATGACTATAAATTATTAAGAAAACAAGGTTCATGATCCGGTTCTTCACTTACACAGTAACACTTAATAGCTATAAAAGATAACAATACTTTCACTTACAAAAATAAAATAAATTTCAAGCAAGGTTTTGCCAGAACCCATAAGGACATTCAAGACATGAACAAATACAGTAACTAGAATAGAAAGCTTTAAGTTAAAAATGTATTTGAATGATTATTAACTGCTAAGAGCCTTTCTTTTTTCCTGTTTTTTTGGGTAAACTAGTCTGCTTAAATTTGCAACTTAACTCAGTAGTTGAAGCAACTAGACAGTTGCTCCGAGTTCAGAAATCAGAACTGTAGAACCTATTGCTACCATATTCCCAGTTAGCTTTGAGTATTATGTTCAAGGCATCCTAAATTTTGGTTCAGAAACATTAAGTGTGTAGGTAATAGTCTTCCACTAAACAAACTCCAATATTTTTATTTAAACATGCATGCTTCATCACCTGACTCTTTGAGATACACTTTCACACAACAGTTTTACAACTCAAGATACCAAATGATTTGTGATAATTTATTGATCAATTTAAAGCTGTTATACATTTATCTCACTTTGTTGAGAACCTTAAAAAAAAAAAAAATCATGCATGAAGGTATACAGCATATTGGTTAGCATATACCCAGATATTTCATACAATTACTTTAAACAGTTTGCTTAAATCTCCAACTTTACTACAAGAAAGCATTAATTAAACAGTTGAAACAGAACCCTGTTACTCATGAAAGGTATTCAGCATCTTATGCCAGTCACTGTGAAAATAGCAAGTGAAACCATATTTTCACATGCAGCCTGGTGGAGGGGTTGAAACAAATAGTCTAACCTTTCTTCGTAGGGCTTTGGAATTGTGCATGATTTGTGGAAGTTTGCTGTACAAACATCAGATCTGCTGCACCACATTCTCCTATGCTAATACACTTCCTTTGTTGAATTGTCACATTTTCTTTTAAGTGCATTGGTATAGCAATTTCTCGTGGTTCCTCCATCCATAGTCTAGATATTTCTTCAGTTTTCTCTGCTTTCGCTTGAACCTGAGCGTTTTCTGCCAAAACAGTCGGCACCACCTTTGCATTCTTCTTGATAGTACCTTTTTTAGCCTTCTTGCCAGGCTGAAAATCAGCAACATCAGTGGCCAATAAATTTATATATTAAGCAGATAAAAACAAGAAGCTTCACTTTGCATTTTGGGATAAAAAGTATTTCAAAAATATTTTTTTAAGTTCCATATTTTGATAGCATGAACAAAAAATTGATAGACAATATATGTGGAAAAGAATCTGGGATTTGAACTGGAAAAATGCACATTAGATTGATAAACAATGTGATGATCATAATCTTACCTCAATTTTGGCAGCATTGATGCAGTTTATATACGATTTATCGCAGAAAACATTAGTGACATCCTTAAGAACAGACCTTTTCTTATTCTGAAGGCAAGCAGTAACACTAACAGCTGGTTTGTTCTCATCAGACGCTGCTCGTTTTGATCTTGGTCGAAGAACTTGCTTATGATCCTGTTTTTTCAAGAGTTTTGAGGTTGGTAATCCTTCTGGTAAGCCCAAGGCTTTAGCCCGTGCTCGTGTCATTCGAACAGTGGCGTCTTCAAATTTAGCAGCAGTCATATTTTCCTTATTCATATTTGCATGCCCTGTACACTGCCAATTCACTTAAAGGCTCTTCATAAAACCTGCACTTCTATGACCAATTTAAGTTTAGAAGTGAAAGGAAGAACTTTAAATTGGCAAAAAGCAATAGTCAGAGATGCAATAATCAATGAATAGTACCTTTAAGTCATGATAAAAGTAAAGAAAACAACTCAACTGGCTTTCAAATTTCAACTCAGCACTAACAAAACCCTCCAAAACTGTTTCTTTACACCCAACAATTTCTACCATAAAGCATGGCTAGGTTACAGCCATCTTACAGAAAATCGTTACTTTGAATCCTTACTTTGAAAAACAAGAACATAGATACATATAAATATTTACACATGTTATTCAACGAATCACAGTTTAAATCCTTGCACATGTTATTCAACTAATCACAGTTTAACCATCCAATAGTTTCACCTAGTCAACAAGAAAATTGAAGATGACTACAAAGAAATAGAGCATCAGGGATCTGATCATAAGTGATTATAGACCAACAAAAAACTTCCTCAAAACAAGAGTATGGATACATATAAATCATTTGGGGACTGCATGAGTAATATAACATATTTCCGACTTCAGATTCAATGGGACTCTTTTCTTTCATTTTTTGGCAAGTAGGAAGCTATTTTACATTTGATAAACACCTCTTAATTGTGCAATTTTTTATTAGTACCTCTTAATTGTGCAATGAATCACTGAGTTTTCTGATAGTTCTTCCCTTATTGCCTAGCTTATTACTAATGAGGTAGTATCTCTTGCTACATTTCATATGGCTTTCGAGTTGCCTAGCACTTCCGACCAATGGGCAAATAAATAAGAATGGATTACGTTTATTTTGCAACCAAGGATCACACAAAGACTTGTGCTTCTCTGTTTGTCCCAACTACAATATGCCATGCACTGTTGTCATGAATAAAAGTTTAGACTACCATTTATAAAAAATCGCTATTAGTTTTGCATTGATCATGATATTATGTAATTGAAAAAGTCTTGTCTAATTTGTCATGCTGATATAAACAAATATAATTTGAGATTTTCACCTTCATTTTCCTCTAGAGCTGTCTTCATGTTGTTGTGGCAGAGATGATTGCTGTCTGCAAAATTTCTTCATAGTTCTAGATCAGATTTAACAAAGAAAATTCCAATTTCTCTGCTCTTCTTGGGAAACCTACGATGATAGTCCTCCATCATTTTCATTTGCTTTTCAGTTTGTATATAAAAAATGCATATGCAAGAACATTGTTTGCGCAGTCAAATGCTGACAAAATAGGTGATTGAGTAAACAAATATGCCCAGGCACATATAGGAAACATGCTGCAAAATCAAGACTGGCCTATCTATGAGTTGTTTGACCTTAATCCTTTTTTTGCCTTTTTTTTTTTTTTTTTTGAGAACAAAAATAATATATATATATATTATAATAATAATAAAAAACAAATAAAAATAAAATTTAAGTTCCAATTCTAGAAGTCTAAATGTTCTGTAAAATTCATATTTAATAGTCGATTCTTAGTTTTCATCAGTACATTTCCCAACAAAACGGAGTTCCAACCAACATAATTGCAGAATTCAACTGAACAAGAAGTCAGTAAACTAGCATCAAAAGGAGAAAGATGAAAAATAAAAAAAATATATTCCAATTAGGTACAAGATTTTTCTACAATGTTAGAGAATTTATTTATTGTTGAAAGATCTAGTCCTTTTCAACATGAAACACAGACATTTAGATGGTAAAAAAAAGAAAGAAACATAGACAGACATTTCCATCAGTGAGACAAAAATAAAAAATAACAACATTTAAAAGACATTTCAAAACCCTAATTTCCTCCAAATTTCCATGAATTATATATCTAAGGCTTCATCAATCTTATCAACAACCAAATATGCAATAAAAATCAAACAAGCTAAAGCTTCTTTGCACAATCTAATCCAAGTTCCTCCCATAAATTGTTCCGACTACGCATTATTTGCTCTGACTATATAATCAACAGAAGAAAAACAAATTGTGCCAGAAAAATAAAATTGCAAAAATAAAATTTCCAAACAATTCAAGTCAATGACGCGAAAATCTATGTCAAATTTTTCAGAAAAACAAAGTGAATCGAAAATAAAGAAAAAAGAGAAAATGCATCACAGATCTGTGTCGAGAAACTAAACAACCATAATCTGCAACAGCATTAATACATATTGGCGAATCATAATCGATTAAAAGGAAAATAACGCAGCACAATAAAGTCCATATATATGATACATATGTAAATATTCATATATACAAATATAATATATATATCTCGAGAGAGCGCATTGTAAAAGCTGAGCTTACTCTACATTCAGAAGCTCCGAGACCTGTCAATGGCGGTCCGGAGAGAAGAGATAGGGTTAGATTTAGACAGATCATGCGATAGACAGTAGAGAGAGAAAGTGTTGAGTGTAGAGAGAAGTCTAGTGTTTTAATAATAAAAGCGGAGCTTGAGAGAGCGGGACAGAGGCACAGTTCAAACTTCCAAAATCCAAAAATAATATTTTTCTGTTTCCGCTCCTCATATTACTTTTTCCAGTATGCCAATGTATTTTGTCGCAAGTGATTAAAAATATCAACGCATCTGCCACGTGGAATAGAGTGGTTGACTGGAGTGTAACATAATAGAGTCCAATTTACAAGTCAACCATAAAAATAAACAATTACTTAAATTAATTCTATTAGTATTAGACATGACAAATCTATTTGAAATATATATATATATATTTTTGGGTAAAGTCTATTCTATTAGATTGATTGGTTGTCAATTTTATTTTTAATGGAATTTGAGGTATTGGGCTCCAACATTTTGAAAATATATATTTAATTGATCTTTTATCTTTAACTCTGTCAAAATAAGTTAGCTATTATTGATCAATCAAATTATTATTTTTTATTAATTATTGATAGATTTAATTTTAGGCTAATTTAGTATTGAATGGTTTTCAATGGTTCCTTAAAAATTGAAATAGGAATCAAAATTGGTACATAAAATCAACTCGTGAAATATCATTTTAATTTTGTTCCAAATCACATTTCTCTTTACTTTTCCAATATATATATATATATATTGTAAAACAAACTAATTGTGAATTTGATACCAAGCTAATATAAGTATAAACTTTATACGATATTGGACAATAATATAATTTGCCTTGAAACTTACATTGACATGAATAATAATAGCTAATAAAAAACATAATGTATAATAATGCCTTGACTTAAAACTTGCTTTAACATGAATAAAATAATAAGTAATAAAAAAAATGGTATATAATTAGGAATGGTTTTGTTCGATTAACCGGTTTTATTTGGTCTAGTCCTAAAGGACTTGAAATTAGAATTGAACCATAATAGAACAGTTCCTTAATTGTGGGATTGGAATCAGAACCAATCCTTGAAACGGAGGAGTAGCAGGTTATAGTAAAGTATCGATTAAGCTTGGTTCATATTCGTTTCCAAATTTCAACTATTTTTGTTGTGTACAGTGAATCTCAAGAAATCTTACAAGAATGGAAAAATCAACACTCATTCATTGATATGATTAGACTACATCAATAAATTTGATATCAATTTGATCCACCTAAAAATATGCTAATTTTTTATTTAATATTATAAAAGAACACATGATCCAATATTATTTTCGCATATCAATTATCTTGTGCTTCCTTATAGGTAAAAAGACAAGCTGTGTTCCTTCTCAAAACATGTTGTGTTCTTGTGAAAACATTTTCTATCAGACTTCATTTCTCAACTTAATTGCACACAATACCCTAAATACAAATGTACCAGAAAAAGAAAAAGAACACAAAAAATAAAAGGAAAAAATGTAGTAGCTTTATATTAATAATCCTTAAAATAAAGTCAATAGTTATTGTAGAGAAGGATGTGGAGCAAATCAAATGTAAATTCAAATACACATCGATATTTTAGTGCCAAATTCATATTTGAATTTGAACCCAAATTGAATCTTATGGACATGATTGTATCATAATTGCCATTTGTCCTGAAAAGGGATTAGTTATCTTGTGTAGGTGATAATTTACCCCCTCTCCATATACATCTGTCTACCCTTCAAAATTCAAAATTTCATTTTATGCTCTATTTCCATTAAAAATTTAATTTAGAATAGGTGCCTTTTTGTTGGTGTAATAGTGTTATGTGTGTTTCATTCTCGATTTAATGTCGGTATATATTGTATATGATAATTGTTGTATTCTGATATCAAGTGTTGTATGTATCAAAATGTCGTTGTCTTGATGCATTTGAAAGTACTGAGAAACAATCAATTCATATTTGTGGAGGGTTACGGCCACACTCATGAGTTGAATTCCCGTATGAATTCAGATTAGCCCCTCAATGGAGCTAGTTTGATTAGTATATCTGGATTTGGGCTTAAAAGTAATCAAAACTATGAATTTGAATGCTTGTGCCACTTTAGGCATTTTTTGTGTGGCCTCTGTTCTAGCCATCCTGTCTTCTTGTCTTTGTACAGTTCTTTGATATATAACACACACACACACACACCCACACTAGTATTCACAGGAAAAAAAAAAAAGGGGGGGATCAAATGAGAAGAAAAAAATTAGGAATGGCAACGGGGCGGGTTTGGAGCGGGTTTCCCTAAATCCCGTCCTGCCCTTTTTAATTTTTGTCAAGTCTATATCCGCTCCGAGATCCACGACGGGTTAGATTTTCATGTCCAGCCCCGCCCCGTTGGGGAATACTATGCCCCCGTGCCTGCCCCGCTAACAAATTTTTTTCTCCCACTTTTTGAAACTTAAATTCCTGCTATTTCAATGTGGAAAGCCTGAAAATGGCACAACATAAATGAAATTATGTATCCCAACAAAAATAAAAAAATAACATGCATATAACATAATTCAGAGAATACAATAAACAAAAATAAAAGTTTAATACAACCAAATCACAAGAAATTATAAGATCCAACTTCTACCATAATCAAAACAAAAGTAAATTTAATACCAAGTTTACATTTCAAATTAGAATTATAAGAAATGGGTAACTGAGTAAGCTGCTAAAATAAGTTATTAATATTATATATATATATATATATATATATATATATTATATAGTTATATGCTTAGCGGGGTGGGGCGGGGTGGGGCGGGGCCTGTAGGATATGTACACTGAACCCTCACCCACCCCGTGACCCGTGACGGGTACAAAATTTGTATCCATACCTGCCCGAACGATATAAAAACTGTTTCCATATCCGTTATTAACGGGACGGGTCCCGGCGGGGCGATAAAAATTGACATCCCTAATAAAAATGTTACAAAAACGACAATAGCATTTTGTGCGGACTAAAAAATTGTAATAGTGGTGGATATTTTTGTAATTATTCATTTAAAGAAACTTTCGGCAGGAGCCTACCTGTTTGAAAAACTGGGCGTCTCTCGCCAAAAAAAAAAAAATTAAACATCTACCAATTGGAAGAATGATTGCTTCATTATCCATAATAAAGTTTCTTAATCGACATCCAAAAGGCAGAAGGCAAGTCTAAATCAAAGTCATTGTTAAGACTGAGCTTTAGCAATAAGTACATACAAAATATCTAAACCTAAATTGGAATCTATTTCACTCACATAAGACCAATATTTAAGCAATGGTCCCCTGCATAAACAAAAAGGCAATGTCCAAAAATTTTATCACGACTCACACGATAAGAGGGGTAGATATATCCAAAAAGGTAAAAATGGGTACATTGTTATTATCACAAGTGTACGATATACGTGTCAAGAACGATTTGAATGTGTTCGTTACACGGTATAACGACACGACAGGGGCAGAGTTACTGAAGGACTAACGCGGGCTATAATCTAGGTCCCAAAATAAAAAATAAAAAAAGAAAAAAGTATTATTGTACATTAGTTTACAGTCCAACTCATATACAATATTACTTTTTCTCTTAACTATGTCTGTATACAATATTACTCTCCATCTTAGCCCAATCCTGACTCACAATAAGCACAAATAAATTTTTATTGTGAGAAACACAATCTAATCAAAACCACTAAACAATATGAAAATCTAATAAAATGTTGCTTTCAAATATATGTGTGTGTGTATATATATATATATGATTCCACCTTCGTATACCAAGAGACAGAATTAAATTTTTTTTATTTATCTCGACAAATACAGTAGTTCAGTGATTGCACACCCACCAGTCAGAGAAAGCTCCTTTATATTCATATTTTAATTTTGTCTAGACAAAATTGATATTAAAAAAATTTCATTAAAATATTAAAGTGTTTTTTAAAACATATTTTCTTCGTTTTTTATTTTGGGTTAATTTCATCTATACCCCCTGATCTTTGACCATATCCTACTTGCACCCCCTCTAAGTTTCAATATTCTGCACACACCCCTTAACCTTTGACTATTCGTATCAAGTTACCCCCTCCAGTTAAACAGCTGCTGATGTCAGCATGACAAAATTATCAAATGGTCAATTTTACCCTTCCAATATGTAAATTGACATCTTTAACCTCATTTACCTATACACAATTACAAAACTACTCCTAATTTGTTAACTCAAATGTTTAAGAATACCCTTCTTTTCACTATATATACATCAATATTTACATTCATATATTATGTTTTTTTTAAAAAATAAAAAACTATAACAGGATGTAGTTCCTTGAATAAAGAGTTTATATTTTTGAGTTCAAGCATTTGTATCAGCATTATGATTTCTGATTAGTGTAGAAAGAAAGCTATCATTTGAACTATACAAAAAAACAACAAAAATGAACTAGTTCTAAAATTGAGTTAAGGTAAATATGATCACATCAAGATTCAAGACACCAGTACAAAAAAATTAAGGAAATGCTGATTTCTGGAAACAAAGGGTGATCAAAGCCCTAATCAGAGAATGAATACAGTTAAAGTTTCTGCTGTTAGTATCAAATTGTGAAAAGGGGTCTTAGGCTTTTCCATCTGTGAAATGTCAGACAAAAATTGAACTAATCGAATTATCTCCTTCTTCGTGATCCTTCCATTTGAATTCAGATCGATCAAGAGCAAGAGACATATATAGCAGATAAAGTAAGCTCAAACCAAAACCCTAGATTTCAAATATGCTTATTATCAAATACAAATCATGATACATCCATCAGTTACCTAATCATACAAAATCCAATTCGCAAACCTCGTTGTTTGAAGAGATACAATGATTAGCTTCAGAGGTCATTTCCTACTAATATCCAAGCTTAATAGTCATTTCATGTTAATTGGCATCATCCTAATAGCAATTACAAGTTTCATATCTTTTAGAGAGAGAGAGAGAAGGGGGGGGGGGGGAGGGTTTACTCCTTTCCATCATGTTAGAAAAAAATTCATTCAAGATCTTCATCGCCGGCGTCGAGGTCACTCGTTCGGATCTTCATCTGCCGGCTCCGCCTGGGTCCACCTCCGTGCCTCCCAACGTGCGAAGTCGCCGGATTCTGCCAGTCCCCGGTTGATGACTACTTCGATGGATTACGGGGCTGTCTTCAGCAATTTTGCAGAGGTGGACGGCGCCAGTGGATCTGTCTCTGTTGCGCCGTGGGTCTGTTACAAGTTTGGAGCAATTGGGTTTGTTAATATCACCGGCGGTGGCCGTTTGGGGTGTGACCGGCTTCTGGCGGGTGCTCCGGCGAGTGAATTCCTTTTCGTCATGTGAGGCAGAAGCCGCTGCTCTCTGAGCTTCTATACGGCGGCGACGCTCCTCGGTTTATTTCTCGAGTGACGGGAAAACCTTGTCACCATAGCCGACGGATCCGTTGGGAAAGATATTGCCGACATCTGACAGCTTCGCCGCACTCGCCGGACTGAAGTTCCCTTGAGGTGGAGCACAGAGTCCCAACTGTGAAGAAGCTCTGAGCCAACATGGACCCAATCGGTGTCGAGCTTCAGCGAATGGATCCGACCAACATTACCTGTACACGAAGTTCAGTCCGTCCAAGGCATATGCTCACCGAAACTGCATCACCTGTAGTTGTTGTATATGTGTATATATTTGTATATTTGTACGTAATGTGTGTATTAAACTCTAAATTTTTATAAATATTAGTATTATATCATTGATGGGCAAAATTGTAAAATTACACAACTCCGTTAGTAAAGTTAACCGCCATCGTAGTGAAGGGAGGTAGGTGAAATATTGAAACCTAGAGGGGTGTAAGTGGGATATGGTCAAAGGTCAGGGGTGTATATGGAATTAGCCTTTTTATTTTTGACAGATGGCAAAACTCACTATAAATGCGCGTCCATGTCCTCCTCCTCTTTTTGAAAAGAGATACCTCAAATGGACTTTCCTGGAAAGTTTTTCTTTCAAAACAAACAAAGTTACAGTTTCTACTCTTGTGTTTTCATTATCACGAGCTGTATCATACCTAACTTTCTCCAACATTCAGAACAGAGCTTGAAAAACATCTCTCCCCCTGTCTTTCTCTCTCTGCTGTAACTCACTTGACTGTTAACAATGAATGGTAAAAAGAATTATCACTCATTTCCACTTACATCATCTTCAATATTCATCATTTCTCTCCAACACCTTTCCATTGTTCAGTAGCAGAGAAGAAAAGGGAAAGTTAAAATGGGTTCGTATGGAAGGCTTTCGACTCGGGCACTCGAGACCGATGTTCCTGTCATGGTTAAGGTATATCTAACAATTGGGTTTTACTGAAGAGGAGTTTTTGTGTGTGTGTGTGTAAAAATATACTTTATTGGGATTTTGTAATTGCTGGTTGATACTAAATGGTCCGTTTATGGTCTTTTATTTTTGGGTGTCCGTTGTTTATTTGTATATTTTGAAGTTGAGTGAGATTTATCTGTTCTTTTGCAGTTAGCAGAACTGAATAGGAATTCTAACGATGCAATGCCACTGGGTCAGGTTTACTTTTTCTTCTTCTTCTTGTTCTAGTTTACTGTTAAAGTCTCTTGTTAGATGACATCAAATGCTAAAAAAACATAGATGGCAATGGGGGGACTTACTGGGATAATTTGGGATTTTTGTACTTTTAGGGCTAGGTTAGAGAGATGGTCTTGAAATCCAAGCTAAATTAGGCAGGAATTGGGTTCGAATACAGCTTGTTATTTAGTTGTTAACATGTTCTTTGCTGTCATTGTTCATTATACATATAAGCATGCGTAATTCACTTGGATGTGAGCTTCAAAATTGAAAAATAAAGAGGCTGCTCTGCCTTGGCCCCAGTGATATGGAATTAGAATGTACTTAATTAGTTCAATTACATGTCCTGATTGAAATCCGAAATTTTGGTTCAGGTTCAGTTGGGCATCCCAAATCCATCTTAAATGGTGCCATTCTTAGTTGGGGAAGTCTCCAAATGGAGAACCAAAGTTGCAGATAGATCATTAATAAAAGGAAGAAACCACCACTATTTGCAATGGATTTACTGCATATGGATTTGGAGCACTTTTGATCTAAAAGGCACAATGGTGGTTATTGGATTTTGAATTGGTAGTTTAGAACATTAACCATCTTGTTCTCTTTGCAAATTTCATGGCCCTTTTGTGGAACGCTGCTCATATGAAAAATAATGGAAGGATTCCAATAAACAAGACATTAGCCATGCCACACTTCACATGAGATGAAAAAAGGAGTCTTTCTATAAGTATTTCCAGTATCTAAAAGAGTGGTGAATGCAATGCTTCCTCAGGAAACACAAGAGGATACATTTACCAAGAGGCCACACTAACTACTGGATCTAAAAGAGTGGTGAATGCAATGCTTCCTCAGGTAAACACAAGAGGATACATTTACCAAGAGGCCACACTAACTACTGGATCTAAAAGAGTGGTGAATGCAATGCTTCCTCAGGTAAACACAAGAGGATACATTTACCAAGAGGCCACACTAACTACTGGATATTGTAAAACAAACCTTCACTAGATTTAGTTGTTGAGAAGTAGAAGAAATGGAACACTACTGGATACTAATGTTTTGATAAGGCACGAAAAAAGTGGAAGTGTGATATTTTACCCAAAACTTCAGGACCCCTTAATGGAACCAACAAAAAGTATCTTCTCCCTCATTTTACTTTGTTTCTTCTATACTCAATGAAGGATGAGATGCTGAAATGGTCCTAGCCCTCTTTGTGTGTATTTGCGGTGAACACTTGAGCGAGAGCTTCATACGCTCATCCACCAAAGTTCCATGGCAGAAAATAAAATCCAAGAGCAACTGATCTTCAAATTGAGGATGGAATTTAATAACAATCTCTTTTTTTTTTTTTAAATTGTTTCACCGTCTGGCTGTAAAAGGGATTAAAATACTTTGGCACTCAAACGAACTGCTTTAACTACCCACATTAAATTCTTCTACTAAATGGTTCAATGTGTAAGGGATACCCATTGGTGAGAAATAGGAGAGTATAGAATTAGATGGTATGGACACATACAATGAAGACCTATATATGCACGAGTAAAAAGAGGAAGATTAGTTTAAATAGAAGGTAAGACATGGAGAGGGTGTTCAAAATTAACGTGGGAAGAAGTTATGAGAAATGATTTGAAGAAGTTAAATATAATAGGGGAGATGGCGTGTGATAGAAAAGAATGGAAAAAGAGAATTTAATGTGTCTGACCCCAATTAATATGGGATTAAGGCAAAGATGATGATGATGAATTGGTTCTAATGATGTAGTGGCCTTAATTAGCCTTGCCATCACAATGTATAATACGTTTAGAGCCCAAACAGACATTTGGGCTCTCTCTCTCTCAGGCATACACACACAAGTTTACATGTGTGCTTGCTCAGACAGTTTATGTTGCTCTTCCATGGAACTGATCTCTTAAATATGACTTAATTTTAGTACTTTTGACACAACTTCCAAGTTACCATCCATACCTTGACGTGATACACTTTTATTGTCAACCAGACACCTTGTGGAGACTTTTACTGTAGAAGAGATAGCTGGGATGATTTCCCTCTTACATGCCAGATAGGAATTACACTTGTCATGTCAATCTATTATGTGCAAGTCAAATTGTTGAATCTTTATATTTTTGGATATACTGAATGGAATATGAAACCTATCAGTAAATCAAACAATATAATTCATATTTTTGATTGATTAAATTCTTATTGCAATCATTTGGACTATATTTCATTCATTCATGCTACTATGATTTAGGGGGCAGTTTATTGGCAGCCACCTGAGCTGGCTCTTGAGAGGGTTAAACATATAGCATGGGAGCCTTCAACTAGTCGATATGGCACTCACGAAGGTCTTCCAGAACTCAAAGAGGCATTATTAAAGAAGGTAACAATTTTTAGTACAGATGACATTTTGAAAGTGTAAATGCCAAATTTTTTGTCGATTAGCAGATGCATCAGAACTGGAAAATCTTCTTGTTGTTATGAAGGATAAAAAGTTCTGCCGTTTTTGAAAGTTCTCTATGTCAAGTTCACCGTTTTACGGTGTCCTGTTCTTGATTTCCTGCTGGTTAGCTTTCCTACCAAAAATGAAAAAAGAAAAGAAAAAAAAAAAAAAAAAACTGATAGAGAATTTGCATATGGAATGTGTTTTTCATTCTTACTAAATTTATTTCTCTCTTTTCTCTTTGAACTTTAAATCTGCAGTTGTGCCAGGAGAATAAGTTGATCAAATCTTCTGTCATGGTCACAGCCGGTTCAAATCAGGTGAGTCGGGCAACTTCTCGTTCATTTGCTGAGATTTGAGGGCTTTTGGATTCTATGTGGTTCCTCAATTATTTCTTGACAATTATTCAGAAGTACAATTCTATTTAATATCCATTTCATATACATTGATTAGTGTAGTCATCCTGAGTACATAAAAAATTCCAGCAGGATAATTAATGGAAATGTTGGACATAACACAAATAATACCTGCAATTTTTTATTAATCTTTTCTGAAGCTTTTATATCATGATAAAAACTGGGACTTAAATTATTTTCATGGGTAAACATATTCTTTTTATGATTATGTTAAAATAGGAGCCCAATTTCATCAAGAAGCTTACAACATGATGGATAAAATTATCCTTAGTCTTTGACATTAGATGTTGAATTCTAAACTAGATTTGCTAGGCATTTATTGTGTTTTAATTTAGATGTTTGCCATATTGCTGTTATCCAAGGCCCATGATTTGTCCAATAGTTACAGCTTTATAATCTCCTCCATGAGGGCAACTTCTCCATTGTAAATAGCATAAATTAGAATCTCTGGTATGAAGGACTCTGAAGAACTAGAAGTAACATTCTATTGAGGAGACTACACTAAGGGTGTATTTGGCAAATAACTCACACACCCACTTTTGCCCTTATGGGGACTTGAACAACATTCCACTTTGAGAGGTAGAGGAGGTGGTACTAGACTACAACCCTTGGTGGTCACTTAGGGTACATTTGATTTATATTATTTCCACTCTTTTCAGAACTATATATCTCTTCGCCGAAATGAGGCAAAAAGGAAATTGAAGTTGGTTGGAAAGTTGACATGACAATAGACTGAATTTAAAAAAAAAAAACCCTAAAAAATCTGAACTAGTCAGGGTCCAATAGATAAAACCTTCTTCCCCATTCAGCTCAATTGACGGACATATTCACTGTTCAATCTTAGGCATCCTTTCCTTTCTCTCTGCCTCCAGCCCTCCACCATCTATCTTTTTGGCATTCCTCTTGTGCTTGTACCATTTTGATAATATTTTTCTTTGCTGGTCTTGTCAATGTACACTTAAATTTGTTCTTTGGGTGTTGGGAGGATGGCATAAAGAAAATTTATGAGAGAGAGTACAATAGTCACATATTCATGTTTCAAAACATCGATTTAGTATTTAGTAGAGCACAATTGAATTTGAATCAGAAGTAACAAAAGCTGTGCTCTTGGAACTTGGATCTTACATACATTTTATTATTTTTTTATTAGTAATTTAGCTGATGATGGCATGAACAGTGATCTACTTATATGCTTATCAGTTTGTGCTAACCAATTTTTCCAATCCCCAAACCTCTTTGCTAGGATTTTAAGTGGATTTTTGGATAACAGGGATTTCTGAATCTTGTGCTTACGCTCTGTGATGTTACGGATTCTGTGGTACTGTTTGCTCCGTACTTCTTCAATGCGTACATGTCCTTCCAGATGACAGGCATCAATAACATACTGGTGGGTCCAAGTAATCCCATGACACTTCTGCCAGATGCAGGTTTGGAGTAGAGTATGATACAGCTTAACTTCCACTACTGATAATTCAACTCCATGGTCTCTCTCTCTCGGACTTGGATCCTCTATGAGCCCCTTCTTGCGAGGGTATTCGTCAGACAGCATATGAATGCCATACCATCAAGTGGTTTAGTGCATGTCATCTGATGAAGGCTCATGCAAAAATTAGGCTTATAAGGATTCTTGTCCTTATAGTTTATATAGTTTCACAATTTTCATTATATTATGGTTTGCCTGTAGCATTCATGAAAAGAAAAGGAATTGAAATCTTAAATCAGAAGAAACTCCTCCAAGTTGAGACTAACATGACTGTTTGACTTGAGTCTAAGTCTTCCATTTTGAAGAAACGGAAAGAATGGGAAACATAGGATTCAAACTCAATTTATTTATATTAATTGTTCCTTCTTTTCCTCATGAAATCAAGTGACTCTTACAGATTTATAATTTATTTCTGGAATTTTTCTTGTAGATTGGTTAAAGAAGGTTATGTCAGAAACTAAACCAGTTCCAAAGCTTGTTTCTATTGTTAATCCTGGAAATCCATCAGGAGTCTGCATTCCAGAGTCTCTGCTCAAGGTCTCTCTCTCTCTCTATATATATATATATTAAACACACAAACCCACAAATACCCACCACACCCTTGGTAGGTATCATTTTTCACTTCATGGTGATATTGAGTCTTATAGGTAGATATATGATATCGTCGTCTTGAATTTCTTAAAATTCTGTGACAAGTTTTTCCCTTGTTTTTTTATTAGAGAATTTCGGATATCTGCAGAAGTTCTGGCTCTTGGCTTGTGGTAGATAATGCATATGAGTAAGTACATAAAGGTTTGCCTCTGGATCATGTGAACTAACGATATTCTGCTTCTAACACGATGTCATAGAAATTAAACTTACAAATCCATAGGCCAATTGCTTGGATTGATCACATGACTTGTGTTTGCCATTATTCTTTAAAGCCATATCTTCTATTAAGCAAAAGGCTGCATGCCTTCTCTCATAACCTGTTCTGGTATCTTCTATTCATTTGTTCACTGTTTCTGGAAAATGCACTTTTTTGTTTTGGTGGGAATCTCTAGTTATACCAAAACACATATTCAAATGGTGATCTTCTTGTTATCACTAAGCAAACGTTACAGAAGTTTCTGCAGAAACCACAAATTAGTAATATGCATGGTTGTTATAGTCTAACTATGAACAATACAATCTGAGACACTAGAACAACTGCAAATTTCAAATTTCACGAGTTTGTTGAATAATATACATGAAACAGTGAGTTTTCTTTAGATTTATATTCCATAGTCTTTTTGCTTAATAAAATCAATTGTTTTGACAAACGCAACGAACCCAAGTTGAATCAAGAATTATGACAGAAAAGTAAAAACGCCACACAAAAAACACAAAGATTTATACGTGGTTCGGCAACAGCCTACGCCCATGGTTGGGATCTGGCGAAAGTTTTCACCATGTGTAAAATCGGAGATTACAAATTTTCAACCCCTCACTCTATTTCTGTATGAATTTTAGAGTCTCTCTCTTCCTCCACTTCAAACCCTAAGCGCCCTTATATATCGGGCTACAAGAGAATAATTAGGGTCCATGACCCATGAGCAAAAAACGGCATGGGCCCACACAAAGCACATCCAACGGGTCGTCGGGTTATAAGCAGGTCGCAACGCGAACCGGCACCAAATTCGGGCCATAATATCACATCATTGTATTCGGAAACCAAGTAGATTGATGTATGCATAAATGGCAAAAATGAAAAGTGGGTAGGATAATTAAAAAATAAACATAATAATAATATTCCTTGGGACTCACATGAAGTGATCTACCATCCTTGGCACAAGGTATTGTACACCTTAGCCTGATATTTATATTCAGGATGTATGATACAACAACAAAATCTCAGTTATCAGATCCTTTATCATGTTGAAGTTGATGTAATGATATTGCATAATATTGTCCTCGCAACCTTATTAGTGACTGTTATTCACCGATCAAAATTGGGCCGTTTCAGTTTACACTAATTTAAGGGATGCCACAGTTCTTGCATCTAATGGAGTAATTATATACTATCGTTGATGCTTGAACCACATGATACACACTGATCATATCATTTTTGCTGTTAGGTACTTCGTATATGATGGTTTTAAGCATTCTTGTGTGGAGGGGAATCATGTTATTAATCTCTTTTCATTCTCAAAAGCATATGGTATGATGGGATGGCGAGTTGGATATGTAAGTAGTACCTTCACTTCCATTGATTCATTTAATCTGGAAAAATGCTATCCTCGTGTTTACATCTAAATTATCGGCTGATTGCCGGTGGAAGATTGACATATGGCCAATTACCCGTGGAAGATTGTTGTTCAGAACACATGGAAGGTCGTTGTTGGAAGATCGTGTAGTTGCAACTTCCAGTAGCTACCTGCTTGGGACTCCATAAATAGCAGAACTTTAGACATTTGTAGGCCTGTTCACACAACACATCAACAGCATTTTTATTCTTCTATACATTACTTGTCATTGACTTTACATTCCTTGAGTGTAATTTGCACTTTGAATTCCTTTTAATTCAGCACTTTACTTTAAGCATTTAGTTAGCTTTCAATTCCAGCGGTGTCTTTCCTTTCTTTAGTTAATTTATCTTCCAGTTCAGTTACATTTAGCCTTTCAATTCCTTATTTGCTTTCCTTAGTTAATTCTTCCATTCCATTGCAACTCCGAAGTCCTTTGCAAAAAGGCAAAAATGAATTCTTGAGAGTGGTCATTCCAGACTCTCTACACAATTGCTTGAATTCAATTTTCCACCAACAATATGTGGAATATTGTTTGACATGTCTCATTGGACTTTCAATGAGTTCTAGCACGCCCGCAGCTTCCACAACAAACAAACAAAAAAAAAGGGGAAAAAAAAAGTCTATCAATTTTTAAATGTTCCTGTTAAAATATGAAAGTCAGCATGGCATTAGGACAGTATATTGGTTTTGCATCGATTACCAACAAGCAACACCCACTTTTTGCTCTCAAAAGCATTTCTGAAGTCTTTCCAACAGCATGAAAGTGTTTGCTTTGGTAGTATGCAAGTCCTAACTTAGCTGTTTTTTGAGCAGGACATGTTATAATCATCCCGACTGAAACATTTCTCTTTCAAATTTCAAATAATAGCTGTATATTTAAACTTCATATAATAAGCATCATACTAAATTATATATTTGGCAGGAAGGCTGAATAATTACATATAATATATATATATATATATATATTTGGCTGGAAGGGTATTAAATATATACTTGTATTTTCTTCCATGCAGATAGCTTACTCATTAGAGGTTGAGGGTCTTCTAACTCAGCTTCTCAAGGTTCAAGATAATGTGGCAATCTGCACTCCGATGATTTCACAGAAAGTGGCTCTCTACTGCTTAGAAGCCGGACGGGAGTGGGTCAAAAGCCAAGTCGAAAGCCTTGCTAAAAACAAAAAACTCCTTGTTGAGGCTCTTTCACCTCTTGGAGAAGATACAGTGAAAGGTGGAGAAGGAGCAATCTACCTATGGGCAAAGCTTCCGAACAAATACCCAAATGATTTCGAAGTTGTGTGTTGGTTTGCACGCAGACATGGTGTGTTGCTACTTCCAGGAAGTGCATGCGGTGCACCTGGGTGTGTCCGAATCACATATGGAATGCTGAGAGAGGCGGATTGCGTAATTGCTGCAGATAGACTAAGAAGAGGGTTGGAAGAACTTATCAGAGATGGCATGGTGGAGTAATTGCTCTCACCGGTTTCACCAAATTTCCATGACTATTGGGTGTTTGTTTCTTATTGAGGTCATGTCTCTCTTCGATTATTCTGCCCTGCTAGTAGACTGGACTTCAGATGCCCCTTGCTCTCGGTTTCACCTCAACTCGGAGGCTTTTTGGTGCTTTGAAGCTTCTCTTCTGCATGGGTTTCTTTGAAGATCTTTCTCCTTCTTGTTTGTATTCATAGGAGTGTTGTTTTTAGGAGTCCCAATGGTTGCTTCTGTTTTTGGGATCAGTTAATATGCTCTGTTTTTTCCATTTGCTTGAACTCCTCTTGTAGTTTGTTTCTTTGCTAATGAAAGCCTGATTACCGAAAAAAACAAACAAAAAAAAAAAAAAATGGTGCAGACATAAATAGGTGAAAATCTGTCTACTCTCTCTCTCTCTCTGTGTGCGCGCTTTTCCCCTGAGCTTGCAGTTGTTGCTTTTGAACTAGTCAAGCATGCACATGGCTTCAGTTTGCCAAATTTGGTGGTCCATGAGTACTTGACTTAACATGCAATAGATTCATAATAGTCATCTAATTACTCTTGAAGAAAGTTGTATCTTATTTTTGTTGCAGAGACAATAGTGGAAAAGTAAAGAAGAATGGGATTTAACTATAACAGAGTTCCAAGTAAATCTGTCCCTAAAAGGAATCTAATTTATTTTTCAATTTGACTTCACAAAAACAAAATGGAGCATGATGAATTTGTTTCAATAGAAAACATATTCAAAGTTAATTTTCATTTTGTAGTTTAAGCTTTCAATTCTTTTCTTTCATTTTCTTCAGTTTCCTCACTGTAGAACAAAGCATGAATAAAAATGTCATTGTTTTCAATTATTTGGAGAGAGAGATACATAATAGGCTAAGTCAGTAGACAGCTTCAAATTGCAAATCATATTATATTATGTGCACATACAAAAGCAGGGTACAGTGACTAACATGTGATGAATGCATATATTACATATATGGAATGTCTGTAATGTGTTGCTTCATTGTATTTGTTTGGGCAAATCATCAGCTCCACTGATATAAATTGTTCAGTTTGTAATCACTTCTTCCACTGAGGCAATCTTTGAACCACAACCTGTCGCCAACGTTACAACAATAGAGATCCATTAGAAGCAACGAATGCAGAATCTGCATTCATCAGTTTCAGAAGTCCATGCTAGAAAGCTGCTAACGTAAATCATTTACAAATTTCCCTGATCCGGAGTAAAATCGGTCAATTAATCCTTTTTTTTTTCTTTATAAAAAGCCAAGCCACTCTAGTATTTTGAGGGAGTAGAATTATTTATTTTGGTAACAAGGAGCTGTTCCAACCAGACACCCTCTGAACTCATGGCTACAGTGTAAAACTCGGATATCTGCAAACCACATTACTACTTAAACCGGGACTCAAACTTGACTATTTGAGACCTCAAGGTAGTACCCTTGAGACCGTCCATCTGAGCAACTCTGACTAGTCGAGGGAGAAGAATTATTACAACCAAGTATCTATATTATTTCACTACTACCACAAAATACACATGGGTCCTCAAGGTTTTCCAATACAATATCCTAGATCAACATTTTCTGGATATCATTTCTCTAGAAACAGTTTTCCTCTAGCAATCCATATAGATCATACAAAGACTATATTTATCATACCGGTATGATTCCCAGACCATGAGTAATTAAATTGAATTCATTTTTGTGAAAAATGCATCAAAGACTATATTTATCTTAATTACATCATACAAAGAACGTTCAGTGTACTTAGAAATGGCAGAGAACTGATTAAAGAAAATTGAAATGATAGTAAAATACCTTTCCAGAGTTCTCCTTATTTCCAACAATAGTTTGGCAAGCCAGCCTCCAAGATTCTGGTTTCTGTACAGTTCAACCAAATCTCAAAAGACAAGCCAATTTTTGACGAAATGAACTTCGTATGAGAAAGTTACTGAAATGTAATTTTAAATATAATTGAGCATTCAAACACGAGGTGTGAAAGATGGCTGCTTTCATTAGCAGATCTTACCACCTTCATTAATCTTACAAGTAAGCCGTAATTAACTTTTCTCAGCAACTTTTCATGGTCACCTTCATTTCTCAATAAATTTCGTTTCAGTGTATTTAAAGAGAGAGGGAGATGGGAAGCTGTACATGCCTTCTTTAGATACCGAAGCTCAGCATTCGTTCTTTCATTCAAGAGATCCTTTCCATCTATAATCTGCATCAATGAGGGATGATGCATACAATTAGAGAACATACAAACTGACTACCAATAATGGCTTAACTTTGATGTGACGGTTACCAAACAAAGAAGTCCCATTGTTAGGTATACATTATCATGTAAAAGCTTTAGTCATACTGAGAATTCGATAAATATGTCGAGAACAATAAAGTCAAATTAGTTGCAAAATAATAACAAGACGTAACACATTTCAATAAAACTCAAATGGAGTGTTCGGATATCCTCTAAATATGGAGTTAATCCATTCTGATTTACATGGGATGAGAAAGTAGTCCATCACATTTGAAAATGGAGCTTCTTATAGCATTTAAAATTTGTATCCCTTGTTTTGTTAAAATTTCCAGTTTCAATATATGATCTCACTGTTGTGATGTCTACATGTTCTATCTCACTGTTGTGATGTCTACATGTTCTAATCCAAAGTCGTCTTTAAATATGACGTGATAAACAATGAATATGTTTATAAAATGTATTTGCTTCATAATTTCCGGTTAAACACTTGCATTCATGTCCACACATCAAGCACAGACTTTCTAATGTTGTAGAGAGTTGACTTCAAATGGACAGTATTGATATTTTGGGAGTCTATTTATTGGGCAAGGCATTTAGACAAATCACTCTATTCCGTTTTAATGGTGGAATTTCAGTGGCTCAATCATCTCTCGGAGAAATGTTGAATATAGTTTTTGCTAGACCAAGTCCAAAATAATTCCATATTGAAAATTTTGTCCATGGGATCATACCAAGAACAACAAAAATATTAACTTATAAATTCAAGAAAGCTGAAAAAATTAAATTCTTAAAATCATACCTCGACAATACAAGTCCCACAGCTTCCGCCACCTCCACAGTTCATCACCTTTCCCTATTGAAAAGGCCAAATCCAACTTTCATGTTAAAAGTAGACATACAAACAAATAAAGTTCATTAAGTATCATATGGTATAAATAAAACTACTTCATTCAGTTGTCAACAAAATTTAAATTTGCCACTTCAATTTAGTTTGGGATAAATATACCATCATTATGAGGGACTGTAATATACTACCTCTGTCCCAAAAAGAATGTCTCTTTTGGGGAACTGACAACAGTTCCCCAAAAGAGACATTCTTTTTGGGACAGAAGGAGTACCATATTTTCTTGTGTGTGTGTGTGTGTGCTTGGGGGGATTATCAAACTGGTAATTAGAAACTCTGCCGGTAACTCGAGTGGGTTCCATTTCTAAAATGAATCAAAAAGATGTACATTTTGACATATAAAGGTTAAACATTTTCAGCTATTAATAACATTATAATCTCTCTAAGCTTAATCTTTTGGAATAACCAATGTCTTAACATCATATAAGAGCACGTAAGTTCAAAGTTGCCTCATTGTCACAGTCGTCGTCATCATCCTTGTCTTAATCTCATATGAATGGGGTCGGCCACATGAATTCTCTCTCTCCAATCTTTTTTATTACATGACATTTCATCTATTATATTAATTTCTTAAAGTCATTTTTAATAATATCTTCCCATGTCATTTTTGGTCGCCCTGACCATCTCTTTCCTCTTATTACAACTAGTCTTCCTCGTTTGACCGTCACTGTGACAATTATAATTGATGCATTTGTTTGCCGAGCATATAAGGTTTAAAGTTATCTCACTGTCAACAATTATAATTGATGCATTTGTTTCTCCAGTAGGGCCACAAGTGAGAACTCATTCATGTTAAAGACTAAAGAGGATTCAAACTACCTATACCCTCTCAAAATCTACGAGCTAAGCTAGCCGGCACATTTAAATTGTGCACCATACTTTGGAAGCTAGCATTGGACATAGGGGTGCACACGAATCTTGTTCACATACTATCCACACAGATTGGTTCGGTTTTGAAGGCAAATTGATTTGGTTACGAGTTGATTTTTAATGGAACAGGGCAAATCGGTTCAGTTCACATGTTAAGAGTAAAAAAATCCAATCTGAACCGATCCGCATTATATATAAATACACACCAGGCTTCATAGGCACCAGGCTTCATATGATTGTTATGTGCGCAGTAATTGGCAAATTATAATTGCTATTGTTCAATTACTAATTGCAGCAGTTATGCTACTGTTATGTTCAATTACTAATTGATGCAAATTGGGGTGTTGATGTTAATAAATAGTTGCAAATTATAATTACAAGAATACAATAACCACATCCCTATTTATTTATTTATTTTTATTTTAATAGACTAAGAGGACTCGAACACGGACTTCGGGGAGTTGGGCACTATGTGGTCCGAGGTAATGCTCAATTCCGAAGAGTTATTTTTCTCTCTCTAATAAGAGGATGAAACGATGACGCTTAGAGGAGCAGCATGCGCGTAATAGAAAACAAAATCAGGGAAATTCTAAAGTGCGCAGGGGAAAAAGCTATCTTACATAGGTGGCGTAGAGCTCAATCTTGTTATCCAACATGATGTTCCTGAGAAGCTTCTCTCCACTTATCTCCGTAGCTCTCTCCACCGGATATACCCCATCACCTCCTGCTTCAGGCTACAACCCAAACAAAATACAATTATATATATATACATACACATTTGTATAACTATGCTATTGTACACACTATCTCACACACACACACACACACACACACACACACACACACACACACACACACACATATATATATATATATATTTACACCAAAAAAAGAAGGAAAAGAAGAAGAAGGAAGTGAATAAATTAGAAGCAAGCAAATGTTTAGATGAATATATACATACCCCTATGAATTCGAGCTCAATTTCGGGCTTTACAGGTGCAGATTCCTGCGAATTCACTGCCAATGAGACTGAGATGGTCCTCCTTTTGCCAATAAATGTAACCGAATTTCTGTAATTTGAGTTTCCGAAGGTGAATTCCGGTGGCCGGAGAGATATGGGGGCAAAATTCATCGCAGCCATTCTCTCTGTCTCTCACAAACGCACACTACTTCTCGAGTCTGGCTCTCATTTTACATGTACGAGTGTGTGTGTGTGTGTGTGTGTGTGTATATATATATATATGTGGACGTGTACATGTAATCTTCAGTTATATATACTCATTTTCAAATTTCTAAAATAATTTCTCACAAAATAAAAAATTACATTCAGAAAATAGACTTATTTTAATTGAATTTCATAAAATAATTTTTGTACAATTTTTATTTTGAACTATTTTTACAAAATTAAACCATATTTTCTAAGAAACAATTATAAATATGACTAAATAACTAAATTAACTAAATGATAAGTAAAATAAACAAAAGTATTTAATAGTAAAATTAAGGCATGCGCTGAAGTGATATCTTCTCTCAAATTTATATTTTTCAAAAAGTATTGTTGAGTCTTTTGTCAAATGCTATATAAAAAAACTTTCTCAAGAACTAATCAATACTTATGGTAATTATTTCAAATTGTGAATTGATGTCCAAAAAAATTTCAATTAAAAGGAAAAGTAGGGTAATTATACTAATTTTTAAAATTATAAAAATTTGGACAAATTACCCACCATTATTTATTTACTTTGACGCTCGAAAATGAAAAATGAATTTGAGTATGAAAAAATCAATGACGCTTTTATATTATAATAATATATTATAGGATAAAATGCAAAAAAATCCCTGAGCTACGTGGAAACCTGCAACAAACTCCTTGAACTATCAAAAATGCAAAAAAGTTGCAAGTCATCCTATCCGCCCAAGGTCCGGTGAGAATTAGCTGTTAAATTTGGTTGAATTTTTTTAAAAGACCATACTGCCCTTAGAAGCATGAAATGATAAGAATGCCCTTAATTTCCATGGAGCCCCTATCTCCCTTTATGGGTTCTTCAATCTTTCTAGTTTCTTCAATGTTCCATCCAATTTCCAAAAAAATCCCAATTGCGTCGCCGGAATCCGGTGGTTTCAAGTGCTAGTCTTGGTAGGGATCTGGCAATAGGAGGTCGTGGCGGGGCTATGAAGCGGTGGCTTGGTTGTGGTGGGTGGTGGTGATGGTGGTGGGTCCTTCAATGTTCCGTTGTCAGAATCCGAAACAGGTTCTCAAAACCCACTACGCAGGATAGCGCTCCGATAACCTCCAATCCCACTCTCTGCATTTCATATGCGAACTCTATGAGAGAAGCTAAAGACAACTCGGTTGACTCATAGAACAAGATGAGTCGAAACAGAACAAGTCACCCGTTCCACCGTCATCTTTGTCGTCATAGCCGATAGGCCAGTTTTTGGGGACAAACAACTGTTTTTAATCGTAAGGGAGGTTGAAGAAAGAGAGAGAGTGAATCGGATTCACCTGAGTGAGTGAGTTGGGAGGGTATTGAGTGGTGGTTAAGTTGGAAGAAACCGAGTTGAGAAGAAGCAGATAGAAGATTGGTTAAAAGAGTTAGGTTTGGGTCGGAGAGAGAGATGAGGGGAGGGGAGGAGAGGTGGTGGGTGGTGGTAGTGAGCGGAGAGTAGGGAGGGAGATTGGGTGGGAGGCGATGATGGAGTCGGGAGAAAACGTCCGCAGCGGATACGTTCAATGAGGAAAGAAGGTTAGGTTGGATCGACGGCGTTAGCGACAGAACTGTAATGGTGCCATACGAGTTAGGGCGTCAATAAGTGAAATTGAGATTATAAGCAAACTGTGTCGTTTTGTAGGGAGGGCAATTTCATCTTTTTTCTTTTATGGCGGCGTGGGCAAATTGCAACAAATTAAAAGTTCAGGGGGGTTAGTTGCAAAACCCTCATAGTTCTTTTTTTTTTTTTTTTTTTTTTTTTTTTTTTTTTTTTTTGCATTTTACCCTATATTATATTATATTTTATACATAAAAATACAAAATAATAAAATTTAGGTTTGAAAAGTCTATAAAATAAAAAAGGTAATTTGCACTCACACCTTCTGAGGTTTGGGTCAACACAACTTAGCGGTCGATCAATGTAATACCCCTAGTTTTCAAAAGGATAAAATGGGGATTTAATTTTGAATAATACCCCTAGTTTTCAAAAAGGATAGAATGGAAAATTTACTTTTTGTTTTTCGTTGATTAATTTATTTAATTATATGACCTAGTTGTTTTGTTTTGTTAATTGTTTAATTATGTTTATTTAATGGTGTTTATTGGAAATTGTTTATATGTTTTGAATGATGTATTTGATTTATTTATTTGCTTCCCTTTTGTTTATTTGTTTTAAATGTTATTATTTAATTTTTTATTTTTATTGTAGTGGACGTCTTTGGTTTAATACTGTGTTTGTGTATATTTTAGGTTTAGGGTTTTAATTGATGTAGATAGGATAGCCGACTTGTAGTTGGGATGGACTTAGGATTAGGGTTGTTCATAGGTATATATATATAGAACATTATATGTCAGCAAGGGTTCTTGTGAGACACCTTATTCGCGTATTAGAAAACAGAGAAACAGAGAGGTGAGGGAAAAACGTGAAGGGCACTGGGAAAGGGCTTTGGCTATGGTTTTAAGCTCATGTCTAGGAGGAAGGAAGAGGTTGATGGAAAGATAGAACTAGAGCAGTGAGTAGAGGAAGGAAGGTCTTGGAAAACATTCTGAAACTTAGAGACGTCTATGAAGGTTTCAAACCGGAATCGTGAGCCAAGTTTCAGACTATCTCTTTTCCCATAAACTTGTGTTCTGTGCATCTTATATAGACTCCAGGAACTTTATTAAACTATTAAAAACGGATTTTATGCATTGCTAGAGGATTTCTGAAATCTGTTCTGTGTTTTTAAAGTTTAAACCCGTTGTTGCTTAAACTATTCTGTTGTGAGTTTAATTTCTGTCGTTTGATTTACACTGGAGTATGAGAGGTTCTAGGACTATAAGAACTTAAATAGAATCCAAAGAATGCTACAAAAGTTTGGGATATGACACTGGACTTCGCCGGAAGCGAAGAAGAACTGAATTAGTTATTGCATAAATTGTTTTTGTCTTCAAATTAGATTTTTGCCAAACTATTCTTAGGGAAATCAAAGGAGTTTCTAGGAGTATTAGGGCTTAAATTGAACTCTTAAAATCCTTAAGAAACTTAGGACAGACAGTTGGAACTTCTGCCGAAAGCAAAGATAAAGCAGTGAAACAGAGAGGGGCTCTCAGGGGTGAGAGCCGGCTCCTAAATGGTGGGAGCCGGCTCCCATGAAGAGAGAGCCGGTTCTCCATGAGGGGGAGCCGGCTCTAGAAGCCTAGGAGCGGGCTCCAATAAAGGGGAGCCGGCTCCCATGGGAAAAAAAAACCCCTACGGGTGTTTTCTGCAATTTTTCTGAAGTTCAGGGGCTTAAAGGTAATTACTGGAAAGTGATGGGGGGTTTTAAATGATTAAAATTAACTTGTTAAAGCCTTCAAATAGTTGGTTTATGCTAAGGTGCTAAACCTAAATGCATGTCATAAAACATAAGCTTATAATAGGCCTACTGTCAAGGAAGGAGGAATGCTTGTTTTGCTAAGTTATTTTGACAACTTAATTTGGACTGACATTGTAATTATTGTTAGAATTTATATCAATGATATATTTAGCATAGTTCAGTTCCAGGAATGTTGGTTATGACGTCATGTACTCGTGTCTAATAAGTTGTATATTGTCGGGAGTAGTGGAAGGTTAGTTGCTAGCTTCGTGTTAGCAAATTAAATGAAACTGGTATAAAATACTTTTGAAGTTTCATATGATGTACTTAAACTTTGGAGTGTCATTATATATCCGACACAGAATTTATAATGGGGAATTACATAGATGCCATGAGATTTAATTATAAATTTGCATGCCGTAAAGGATATGGGAGGATGTAAATGCTAGTCATCATTTTAACATTTAAAACGAACTAGTATGGATGTGTTGATTTGGAATTCTAGTATAATGTGCAGTTTAAAATTCTGATATTCATTATATTATGTTATGGAGGATAATTGCTGAACTGTCTTAATTTTGGTTCTGTCAATTACATGAAAATGGATGTTTTAAATTGTTTATTCTTATTTTAACAATTTAAAAGGAGGATCTATGATTATAAATATATACTGGATGCATGATAGGATCTTATCAATATCTGCTTTCTACTATGCTGATTTCTGGATATACTTGATGTTCTAATGGATGTGCATCATTTGTGAATCATTTGTATTATATGTATCGGTATGGGACGGTGACATATCAGGGATGGATTAGATCAAAAAGCTAAGTCCTACCCCTTTCATACATATGGAATGGATTAACTCAAACTGTTAATTTCTACATGGATGCATGTCCTATTAACTAAAACAGTTGAACGACATAATGGATGGTTGCTTTACTTTTCTGTATTAGGAAGAGATTTAAATATATACTTAAGTGCCGTGATACGAGCTTGAGTCTCCTGATCATGGTTAGGGTGCGTATATCGCCTAGGATTGATAACCAGGCCTGATGATGTTTCCTTGGTTGTTCTACTCGGGTTGAGACGGATTATGTGGGCTGGTGAACGTCCTATAGTGTGTACTTATATCTATATGGACTATCTTAGCTATTGCCGAGCTATCTAGGATGTATCTGCGTATCGGGTTTATGTACGGATTGTAATAGGATGGAACTTGCATGTGGGCCTGATCCACCTTTATTTTTCAGGTGTTCGTGAGTACCAGGCTTAGGGTTTGATCGTAGTGATGCAGATACAGTCACTCACTCTTCCGACTAAATAGGATTTTTCTTTCTGGTTTTAGTTTTGGATTTTATTCTGTAAAGTTTTATCAGTTGGGATTATTAGGGGTCCACTAGTTGGATTTCCGAGTTGTACAGATTTGAAGGATTTAAATGTTATTAATTTATTATTTTAAGTTGGGGATTTTTATTTTAGAATTCTTTCAGCGTTTTGTTATTTTATTCTTAATTCAAATTTTATTCCTGCTTGTTTATATATTGATTGTCTGGTATCCTTTGGATCTGTGCCCGGACTTGATCACCCGTGGTTCTAGAATCGAGGGGTATCACAATCAACGCACTAGTTTACATTAACAGCCCATGAGATTTCAAAAGTTATATTTACCCCCTCATGCTTGTAAATTGACAAAAATAACCCATCATTACCCATCATTATTTTGTACACACCGTCGCCACCGCCCCCCCCATACACATACACCGCCGGCAGCACCCCAAATGCTGCCACCGCCACACATACATAGCACCGCACCCCAAACGCCGCCACCGCCACACACATATACACACTACCATCGACACACATACACACTGCCATCGCCACACACACACAGAGCATCATAGCTACCACCGCCACACACACACAAAACACCATAATGGTAGTCGGACTCGTTGTACCACAACCACCGTCGAACTCGTCGCACCACAACCACCGTCACACCCACACACAGACACACAACACAACACCCTAAATGTCGCCATTGCCACACACACACACACATACCGCCACACACACAGAGTACCACAACCACCGATACACACACACACAACACCACAAACGTCGCCACCTTCATCGCCACACACACATACATAGCACCACAACCACCGCCATAACAAACACGCCTTCGGACTCGCCGCACCAAACACGCCTCCGGACTTGCCCGATTCGAACCAGAGAGTCCATCATCCCCGATCTCCAAGCATTCAATCCTTCAACGGCTATGATCTGATCTCGCGGCGTGACGGTCATCGAACAACATTCAATCTTTCAACGGCTCCGATCTGATCTCGTGGCATGCTTTGGTGGCCGCGGATGTGGTTGAGGAAATTGAGTGGCGGGTGCAGAGAGAGAAAAGGTGGGGATCTGGGTTTGGTATTTCAGAATACTATAAAATAAAAGGTATTTTGATCCTTCAAAATTTAGTTTATAGGGTTATATTAGTAATTTATACTTTTTATGTATTTGTTGACCAAGTCAACGGTGATAGTCATTTTTTCAGGTAAATGGGGTGTTTATGATCACTTTTGAAACTTCAGGGGGTATCAATGTAAAATAATGCGTTGACTGGCCACTGAGTGGTGTTGACCCAAACCTTAGAGGGTGTGAGTGCAAATTACCCAATTAAAAAAAATTTCTAGGGGGGTCGCTGAGAAATCTGACCATCTATGCGTCTTAGTTTATGATCACTTTTGAAACTTCAGGGGGTATCAATGTAAACTAGTGAGTTGATTGGCCGTTGAGTGGTGTTGACCCAAACCTTAGAGGGTGTGAGTGCAAATTACCCAATAAAAAAAATTTTCTAGGGGTGTCGCTGAGAAATCTGACCATCTATGCGTCTTTAATTTGCATATCTAAATCTCATGGGTTATCGGTGTAATTTACCCGAAAAAGAAAATAATGAAAAGACAAAAATACCCTTTTTCTCTATCCTCGCCGGTCACCATACCAGTGACAGTGTCTGTCACACCACCATCTCTATGTGCCATTCGATTTGGTCATTTACACAAATCATACTTTAGTTTAGAGAAAAAAAGAGAGCATAATAATCAGACTTGATGCATAATCGAAAGCTCTTCCACATCCATCCTCACTTCTCTCTCAATCCCAACTACAACCACCGATTCTCATAAGCAATCACGACCTGTGTTTTGATTTTGAAACATTCTAATCATATTAGCAGATACAAATTTGCTAAACTTGTTGTCTTTTTTCTCTCTCTAAACTACCGATCTAACATACAGGAAATGAATACCCTCTCTTCCTCCCACAAACGTCGTTACTTTCTCTCTCTAAAAAGCCTCCTCCTCCGAACCCCCATAAACCCTAATCATAATTCTCCAAGAGTTCACAATTACAGACTCTTCTCCGATCAATCATGGCTCTCCATCCCCGGTAACCCCCTCATCAAGTGGCCCCAACTGCCCAACCCCAACCCCAACCCCGAACCCCATTGCTCTCCACCTCCCTCTTCCTCCTCGCAACCTCCCCAAAACCCTAACCCTAATCCTAATTTTAGTGATAATGACTTCTCCACCATTCGTGACCTTATCAAAAATCCTAGCCTCGCACCTGGTCCAGCTCTCGAAACGGCATTGGACAGGACTGGAATCGAACCGGGTTCAGCTCTGTTAGAAGCAGTTTTTGACCATTTCGATTCGTCTCCAAAACCCTTGTACAGTCTTTTCCTCTGGGCCGAGAAGCAACCCGGATACAGATCCTCCGTGACCCTATTCAATTCCATGATCAATGTCCTTGCCAAGGCAAGAGAGTTCGATTCTGCTTGGTCTCTGTTGCTCGATCGGCTTGGCGTCAATGAGGGACCTAATATGGATACATTTGTAATTCTCATTAGACGGTATGCTCGTGCAGGTATACTTCTATCCTTGACGCATAGATTTATGTTTGTATATGCATGTAATTCAAATACTATAGATACTATAGCATGTGGATTGATTGAGGCTGTGACCTTAGATAATGGAGAAATAGGATTTAATGAAGCTGACCTAAGTAATTGGAAAAGGACTTTTTTCTGTTGGGATTGAGTAGTATGTTGCATGCAATTCACTTTGAAAAAGGGAAAAAAAAGATGTTCTGTGTAGGTAAACCTAATTCATCAGTTACAGAATTGACTGAGTTCTGTACCTGTACATGTATGTCAGATATCAGTAATGGGAACATTTAACATTTTATTTCAGCCCAATTGATTTAGAGAAATTTAGGTTTTTTTTTTTTTCGCTATATGTATGTGTGTGTATATTTTATTTTTATATATGTATGAACTATGGACATATGCCACTACCTGCAATTCAAAGATTTGAATTTGCATTGCATGTATTAATATTCAACCATTTTTTCAAGCTCAATTGATTTAGAGAAATCTAGCTGTTTTTTTTTTTTTTTTGGCTATATGTATATGTGTGTATATTATATATATATATATATATATATATATATATATTTTATTTTATGTATGTATGAAATATGAATACATGCCACTACCTGCAATTCAAAGATTTGAATTTGCATTGCATGCATTTTATAGTCAACCTGAAATCAGATAACATGACATTTTGTGATACCCGCTAAAAAAAGTCCACACACTGTTTTGGACATCTGATTTTGCATTTAATTTAGATCTCAATTGTGGCCTTGGCTGTGCAGGTATGCCTCTACCTGCATTTAGGACGTTTGAATTTGCATGTACTTTAAGCTCGATTTGTTGTTCAGATTCAAAACTGAGTTTGTTTGAAATTTTATTGGACTCCCTTTGTAAGGAGAGGCAAGTTAGGGTTGCTTCTGAATATTTTGATAAGAAAAGGGGTTCTGAACAAACTTGGATTCCTTCTGTTCGGGTTTATAATATACTGTTGAATGGCTGGTTTAGGTCAAGAAAGCTTAAACATGCAGAACGACTTTGGTTGGAAATGAAAAAGGAAAATGTGAAACCTAGTGTTGTAACTTATGGTACCCTTGTTGAAGGGTATTGTCGAATGCGTCGTGTTGAGATGGCAATTGAATTGGTGGGGGAGATGAAGAGAGATGGAATTGAACCCAATGCAATTGTGTATAATCCAATAATTGATGCATTAGCAGAAGCCGGAAGGTTTAAAGAGGCATCAGGGATGATGGAACGTTTTTCAGTTTTGGAATCAGGTCCCACTATTTCTACCTATAATTCTCTAGTGAAGGGTTTCTGCAAGGCTGGGGATCTTGTTGGGGCTAGTAAGATCCTTAAGATGATGATCAGTAGAGGGTTTATTCCTACTCCTACAACTTACAATTACTTCTTTAGGTACTTCTCAAAGTTTGGGAAGATTGAAGAGGGAATGAATCTATATACCAAGATGATCGAATCTGGATACACTCCTGATCGGCTCACTTACCATCTATTAATAAAGATGCTATGTGAGCAGGAGAGATTGGACATAGCATTGCAAGTTAGCAAGGAAATGAGAGCCAGGGGATGTGATTTGGACTTGGCTTCAAGCACCATGTTGATCCATTTGCTGAGTGAAAGGCATAGATTTGAAGAGGCTTTTGGAGTGTTTGAGGACATGATCCGGAGGGGAATTGTTCCTCAGTACCTTACATATCAGAGAATGAATGATGAGCTAAAGAAACAGGGAATGAATGAAATGGTTCGAAAATTAAGGGATATGATGGCTCGTGTCCCTCACTCAACAAAGTTGCCAGATACATATTGTGTAGATAGAGATAAATCACGTGCAAGGAGAACATCTATAATTAGTAGAGCGGAAGTTATGTCAAATATTATAAAGACATGTAAAGATCCAAGGGAGCTTGTGAAGCGTAGAAGTGAACCTGAGACTTCTGTATCAAGTGCAAATCGGTTAATAGAGAAAATCAGGAGAAGAAATAACTCAACATGAAGCTCTGGAATTTTGAAATTTGTGACCAACTTAGGTATGTGTCATTCTATATGCTTTTCCAATTGGATGACTTCAGGTTAACTGTGAAAACTTGATGGAAATCTGTTATGGGCTTCTATTTCGTGTGCTCGACAAATAATTACATAAAAGGGTGGGCCCTCTTTTGCGGGATGCTGGGAGGCGAAGGAAATAGACATGACATTCGATATTATTTTTGCAGAGTATGCTGCTCTCAGATTTGAGCTTTGTGTCCCAACACTTTATCAATCCGGGCTTTTACCATTACACGAAGCATTGACCACTAGATCTCTCACACAGAGTTGAATGCATGCTTATGTGGCAGGTATGATTTTTTTGAATAGTTTGTACATTATTAATGATTCTCCAATTGCTGAATTAGCAAGTAGTAGAATGTTTCTTTCCAATTTTACTGTTGTTGTCCCTTCCCAGTTCTATTATTCATGGTTGGACCTCATTTGTTGGCCTACCTTTTAGTCTGTGCCTCATTCCAACTTGTATGACTTTTAATCTTATATAAACCTAATAAATGGTTTCGCCTATAGAAATGTTGATAACTGAAGAATAATAAAGTTCAGTTAGGATTTACTTCGTTTGCATCAGTCTTGGACATTTTTGAGGCCTTTACAAGCAAACTACTTGTCACTTTTTTATTTCTTGGTGCATCTTAATGTTTCTCAGATTGTCAGATAAGTCTCTCCAATCTTTAAGGATTTGCAACTTTATCAGTTTCTATCATTACTTAACTTGACATTAATTATGATGAATACTGTAATCATGCGATAAAAAAATCAATGCTGCTTTTGATTACTATTTGTTCTTCTACATAATTCTGTTATCATATCTCTTACTATTTGCTCTCGTGGGAAAATGATCCCACAAAAAAGAATTGTACAGTACAAAATAACATAAAAACAGATTAATTTTTTTTTAAAAAAAATATGGACCCTCTGCTCAAATTGTTCCTTTTTGAAATTCACATGGTTGTAGTAATCAGATAAGGTTACATATGAAAGTCTCTATGCTGCTTTTCATTTGTTTTATACATGTAATCCTAGAGCTTTTCAGGATGTGTTTTTATAGTCATAAGCTAATTGTTCTTCTTTGATTCGAAGAAGGTACATTACGTGTGTTTTGATGCAGTGATGTATGAGTATCCGAGAAAGGGTTAGGTCAAGCGGATTTTTGGTCTGAGAGAACCACATCAATGCATGGATTCAAATAAGGATGTTCTGATTTGAATTGAGGCACACTGTGACTGAGTGCTTATGGGAAAAGATGATTGTTTGACGCAAAACTGGAAGACTCGAAATCAGACATCCATAAAAGATATTTCTTCTCTCCTTTCTCTAAAAACCAAATCCAAGTCATAGTGATTTAACCCAATTGTTCGTGGTCAAGTTGGCCTAGTAAGTTCCGGTCTGAACCCAAGTGTTCTAAGGTTCAAGTCTAGTGCATAGGATCAAAAGAGAGATGGTTTGCTGTTCTATTGGTGTGTCATGTTGCTACAGTCAAAAGGAGACCATTGTATTATGAGAGAATCTAGCAGGGAGAATTTTGTCTTATGGACATAGTATCAAATACTAGTCTCAGTCCACTAGGTGCTTTTATATTTGTTTTATTTGTATTAATATTGTTTTATATATACTAGCATAGTGAAATAATAGTTTTAAATTAAATTTAGTATGCTTTATTTCTTAAATAAGCAAAAATATAATATTATCTACTGATCAACTAATTAACGAAGATGATTCACAGAAAGATTGAACCAGCACCTATTTGAATTGTTACATAATCCATGGCAGTATCAATTTTTATTTTGCAATGATCTGATTCAAGTGGAAGTTCTGCCCCTATCAATTCATAAGAAAGCTATGGAGGCTTCATGATAGTAAGTTAATAATCTTCATTCAAATGAAATGCAATACATATAGGTGAAAAAGTTGTGACACCAATGTCATGCAAGAATGCTAAATAAATAAATTAGAATCCAGTTTACTCTCTCTCCTTCCTTCCCATCTGAAAGAAACTACTCCAACTACATCCTAGGATTCTTATAAGACAGTAAATTTGATTTCTAGGATTCTTACCAGACAGTAAATTTGATTTTTGTTCAATGATATATATATATATATGATAATGTTTTTTCTGTAATATATATTAAATTTGATCAACTTTAAATTTGTAAAACATAATTTGGTGGTGAGTGATGGAATGTAAATTTTTTATTATTAATTTTTTTTTTTTTTGGGTAAGTTGGAGTGTTATTTTATTTTATTTATTTTTTTTTTTTTGGGTTTGGGGATTAAAATCATACAACTCCCTGTACTATTTCAAAAAGTCGTATAATACTAAAAAAAGATATCTTAAAACTCCATTACTTTTGAAAAAACCATAATATCACCCTCATCCCATGTATTTGCACTCAAAAAGTAAGTGAATGTCAACTTTTAAAATATTGGTAAATTTCACTCACACCCCTAAGTTTGGGCAGTTATAATTTAGGCACTTCTTGAATAATGATACCTTGTTTCATAAATGAGATCCAAACACAGCCTTGAGTGACATGAAATGTCTAATATAGTAATATTCCTCGCAATAAAATACTTGTCCATCTTTTCATTTTGAGATGTCCCAAAAAAACATGTCCTATTCCAAAATTGAATGTATTATTTTTTATAACATTTCCAAACTATCCTTTTAACTAAACAACTACACTAATTACGAAACACTATTTTGTCTTTTAGTAAGGGCATATTTGAAACTTCACTCTTATAAATAAAATAAAAAACTATTAAAACTCCACTACCATAAAAAGTTGAATTCCCCACGCAGGATATGTGAATTCCCCACGCACGATATGTGTTATTGGGCAGAGGGAGTATTTTCATCCAAAATATCAGTTCACCTAAAATCACCAAACTACCCTCAATCAATATACACCACACCACATGCATACATTTTTTCTCTCTCTAACCTTCTTATGTCTAATCCCAACACCACCTACCATCACCACCATCACCCACCACCGCCCAGCCCCTTCTTTCTCCATTAACCACCGCAATCTCCACCCCCACCCACCTTCACACAATGACCCCTAAATTAGGCCCACCACCACCACCACTGTCCATAGCCAATGCCACAACCACCCCCAAATTAGGCCTATTCCCTTTCTTTTACGCGCACACACATATATGCACATATGCACATGCGCATTTCACCACCACCATCACGCACACACCACAATCGCATGCAACAAGGGAGGAAAGGATGCTGGTCAGGCACGGACCCGAGACCACCAAACTTGCCTTTTCTACCGAACCCACCGAGCCAATTCATCCCTGACTGAACCTTATAGTTGGCTTGGTATAGGAAGTGTACTGTGGGTGGTCATAGTCAAGGGCGGATGTAGAGATGGACTTGAGCCCACCCAATTTTATTTTTTTATTTTATTTTTTAGTATAGGCAATTTTAGCCTAGCTCAAAAAATAAATAAATAAATAAAATTACTAGAATTAGCTCGCCCAAAAAAAATATTAGCCCACCCCATTAACAATTTCTGGATTCGCCCTTGGTCGTAGTCGAAGTCATCGGAGGTCAATGATGGGGTAACAGATACCTTTTGACAGCTTAAGAGGGCAACTATAGGTGATGGAAATTTCGTATTTGCTGCCATAAGGATTGGGATTGAACTCGTCGAAGTCAGTGACATTCTCGCCGTCGTCGTGGTGACCTTTGGGGTAGTACGATATTGTTGAGCCCTAATCGATGAGCAAAAGATTCCAAAGCAAGAAGTAATTCGCCTAGGACTAGCAATGATGCGATTCGGACGAAGGTATGGATAGCTTTGGAAAAGAAATGGATGTGCGTATATGTAGGGGCGAAGCCAGGCTTCACTCAAGGGGGGCACAATGTTAAGGAAAAAAAAAACCAAAAAAAAAAGAAGAAGAATTTAAAGAAGTAGAAGGAAAAAAAAAATGACAGAATTTAGAAGGAAAAAAATTAAAGTTTAATTTAAAAAGGAACTTTTTCTAAGAAATTTAAAGAGTAAAAGTGAAAAAAAACTTAAAAAATTAATAGATAATTTTAGAAACTAATAATTTTAGTGGGGTGTTTATGTATAATTTTTTATTTTTTTTTACCATATATGTTTAATGGGTGGGGGCAAGCCAGGGGCACTTGGGCATACACTGGCTCCGCCTGTATATATGTATGTGCCTGTTTATACATATGTGTGTGTGTATAAAAGAGAAGAAATGGAAGGAGGAAGAGGTGGTTGCGATGGTGGTCAAGATGGTGGTCAAGAGGTAGTGGGAGTGGTATACTGGTAGGTGGGGGAATGGAGAGAAAAGGGAAAGGTGAGGGAAAATTGGTAGCAAAATTTGTTATTTTATAAGTTTAGAAATGTTAAAATGGTTGTAGTTGGATAATTTAAATTAGTCAATTCATAAGTTAAAGAGTAATAATGTCAATTTACATATGTTGGGGTGTCTTTGTTAACTTAACCAAAACTAGGAGGTGTCATTGTTCGAAGTGTCCAAGTTGTATAGCTCCAATTCTTTAACCCAAACTTGGAGATGTGAATGCAATTTATTCTTAAAATATTATATAACCAAAATGCTCTTTTAACCTCTTGATAACTTTTAAGGGTTAAAATCAGTAATCCCCTGAACTATCCAATTTGAACTTAAATTTTTTACTGAAATCAGCATTCTTCTTACCATCCCAAATGATTTTCCATCCAAGTGTTTTTCTTATTTGTTTATTTATTATAATGATGGTAATAAATTTGGTGTTCTGCTCTGTTTATTGTTTTTTCATGATTATTAATTTCAAGATTGGTCTGGTCTTCATACTGATTTAATCGCTTCGTGTCAGAAAACATCCTTGGTACTCTCTTACAAAAGCCACAATTTCATCACTATAGTGTTCATTGCTTGATCAACCTCTTCCTTTCTAATCCGCCCTTTGTTTTTATGATTGAAATAAATTTATTACAAATTTTAAACTAAATTTTCTGCCATCTGGCACTAATAAAGTGTATACTTTGACTTATTTTTTAAATTGGGTTAATTAAGATTTGTAACGACCCTCACCTTATATTGTTGGCTTTTTACCTATCCTGATACTACTTCAAGTTAAACACCCTTAAATTCGGAGTTCTAATAGATTCACGGTCATCATGCATTTAAAACGCGTTGTGTCATAGAAGGGTGTTGAATCTATATATAACACTTGCTCCATCTACACCCAGTGGGATTGTGCACCTATAACTCGCCCAGTATGATAGTCTATTAGTACCACCTGCACACGCTCATACACACCCGTGCATAAGGTCAATACAAGACTATTAATGACTAATTAAAACTTATCACTAACCAAGCAATCCATAAATGAAAATGGAGTGCCAATAGCTTCTTCAAATTATTCCTGACTAATATGATTTCAAACTACCTAATTCTAATTCGATGCTCACACAAAAATACTTCTATATATGCGGGGTTCTAGGGTTTACCTTGTAAATACGAGCATATTTTTGTACACACTTGTCATAACCCCAACCCTTATCTTGATCATACCCCTTATACCCAAGGATGTAAATGCCCTCGCGTAAAAGCCAAGCCAAGCCATGGCTGGCGTGATCCCAAGCCAAACGATTAATAAATCACCATATATCTATATATATATATATGTGCACGCACCATATCTCTATAATATACAAACTGCGAGACACAATCTGCGAAGCAATTCAAGGGGAAAAAGATGTTTTCAATATCTTGCTCGATCTGGGTGTATGCAATGGATGGGAAACCATCTTTTTCTCATTGCAATTGCTTCAGAGGCTAATCTTGTCTTCTTCACCCCTCACTCATCATCAAAACACCATTCTAAACATGCATCAATCAAGGTACGCCAGTCCTCCATTAAAATTATATATTCAGTTTTTTGGTTTTCTTTATATATATATATATATATATATATATATATATATATATATATATCATTTTTAAAATCAGGAGTTTTTATTATATATATATATATGTACAGTATATATATATATATATACACACACGATTATAAAGCCATCTTTTTTTCTCTACAACTGCTTCAGATCCTAATCTTGAAGAACCTTCTTCACCCACTCATCATAAACAAACAATTCTAACAATCAATCAGGTACTCCTCCACTAAAATTATATGTTCACTTTTTCCTTTTTTATTATATGTATATGAAAATACAAGAAATTCTTTCCCTCTTTCTCTCTCTAGAATTCTTATATTTCAACTAAAAAAAAAAAATCTCCCCTTTCTTTCCATTACTTCTCCTATTTATAGATATTTACAAATGTTGATGGACTGCTGGATCTAGGCCCGTTCCTCCATGAGTCCTGGTCATCTTTGGTGGGCTTATTTGCGTTCGGCCCATATGGCAGTGTCTTTCTATGGGCCTGACCCATCTGTACTGACCGAATGTCGCGTTTGCAAGTCATATCCGGCCCATGTCATCTCGGGCCTCCTCAACTGCCCCCATAATTACCCCTTGTTTAATAAGGGGGTAATTATTAAAGGCGTCTCATCATGACGTTGACGGCTCGAGAAACCCACATGGGGGAACGGACGGTCAGATCCAGAATCGATGTTCCGGGGCTCGATGAATTTCTCGCCTTCCTGACGCTTC